GAAGACAAATGTGGGGGATTATGTGGGCTACGCTGTCTTCATTCCCTCCCTTGACTTCGAAGTTCTTCATAAAATCTCCTCATTCGCATCCATTTTCACAGCTGAGGGTTTGGCAATTCTCACTGCCCTCCGCTCTATCTCACATCTCAACCACCCCAAATTTCTAATCCTCTCTGATTCACTAAGTGTACTACTTTCCCTTTCACATTTCTCTCCTAAAAATACCAAATCCTATTTAACTTACGAAATCTTAGACAAGTGGCATGACCTCAAGGTTCAAGGTATTGAGGTTATTTTCGCTTGGATCCCTTCCCACAAAAACATCCACAGTAACGAAGAAGTTGACACACGAGCTAAAGAGGCGATCTCCTCTGGAGCCCTCCAAGATGCCTCCCTTCCTTTTTCAGATTTCAAAAAAATCATAAACAATCAAATGAAATTAGCCACATCTCGTATCCTCAGAAAACGAGGCAATAACAAAGGTAATCATTACTTCAAACATTTCTACAGAGGTTGGCACCGTCCATGGTATCAAGACCTAAAAATCGACCGTCCCCAAATCACCACAATCTCTAGAATGAGATCTAACCACTTCAATCTCAACGAAAGCCTTGCCAGGAAAAAAATAATCAATTCCCCTCTTTGTAAATGTAACAAATCCCAAACTCTCACCCACATTTTTTGGCTCTGTCCATTATACCAAAAGGAACGAGTCACTCTCATCAAAGCTCTCAAAAAACTTAAATTAAAAAAATACAATATAAACGAATTAATCTCCTCCCCTGATGCAAAAATTGTCTACATTCTATACAATTTTATAAAAAAAAACGGTCTTCGAATTTAGCTCTCGCTTTTCCCCCTTTAAACCTCAGTCAAATTATCTACCTATGTTCCTTTCCATTTCTACCTTACCGACATACCCTCCCCCTTGTTTTTGCAACGTCCCCTAGTGGGATAACGGCCAAATAGCCAAAGCAGGTAGAGCCATAAAAAAAAGAAGAAGAAGAGTATCGACACCATAGTTGTCATACTTGAATTGACAGGAAAACAATATCTCCTGCCACAAGATGAACACCGACCAAAAGATGGACGGTTTCGACTTTTTTCGAATACCGTCCCACCTTCGTACAAGATACCACAGGGACTGTAGGGGAATAAAATTCCGAGAATTACGTGTCCCCCACTTTACTTGCGCTGAGAGGGGAAAATATTTTGATTTGATATTATTCGTACAAGATCTAGTATCTTCCACGATTTCCATTTTTATGATCATTTGAGTACGATTCAAAATAACAATTTAGAAATTCGAAATAAATCAGTTTGTTAATAGCGGCCTGCGAGGCAAAATTGAGATTTTCATTGGAATTTCGGTTTTCATAAAAATTGGGTGGAATATTGTTTTGTTTCGTCTATCTAGCCATCCAAAAAATGGACGTAAAACACATGGTGGAATTCCGCATTAAAAAAATTGATATTTTCCCAAGTTTTATGACCGATGCGTTAATTTTTTTTACTTAACTGTAACGAGTGCCCATTCGTTTTGAAATTCAATTGATGTGCAATTAAGTCCTAGATAACAGATGGATGTATTTCCAGTAATTTCTCCAATATCTGAACTCCATTCCCACTCAATTCTAGCCCCTTTGTCGAGTATCTGATCAGAAAGTGAGGATATCACTTGCCACGGATTCAGGCCTAGTATCTTGTACGAAAGTATCTTGTACAGAGACTGAACTGTATTCTATAAATGAGATGCGAATTGTCATGCTCATCAAGTCGTCTATCTATTGGGTGTTTTTATACTGCATCCCACTTTTTCGTCATTCTATAATTTATTCCTTCATTGTTTCCACTGTAAATTATTTTTTCTTAATACTTTCCATATTTCATTAGGTATAGAACCCATTGTTGACTTATTTAGGTCATTTATCTATTTTTGATCTCTTAACGAACCCGAAATTTTTCTTAACCGTCTATCTGTAGTCTGCTTAGGCTCTACTATTTATGTATAAAAAATGAAATTTCTTCACTATACGAGATCTTCTGCTTTGATTAATCGGAGTTCCCATAATTGAACCAATTGAATAAAATGTTTTAATGAAGATTTGAAAAAAAATTGAAAAGATAATGGTTGATCGTGAATTTTTTGAATTAATAATATATTCAGAATGACTTTTTATTGCTGTAGTCCTGATACCTTCCGGTAACCTTGGTAGGAGATAAGGAAAGGCGCAGGGTAGGCGAAGGATGACCCAGTGCTGGCCAACATCGGAGCATCCTCGGTCAATCTTGGCCCATTCCACATCTCCTATCAGAGAGGATTTTCGCATAATTTATAATATCATTATTCCAATAATAGCTTCCCTGGTACAAAAGAGCCATTCCATGGAAAACCGTAGTATTACCCTGTGCATCCCTTTAGATTGCTCTGAAACTTCGTTAGAAGTATATGAGGTATTCCACACCAAATGAGAACCGTTGACTCTCTCTTGGATATTGATGGGAATTTTTTCTGTGATTGGGGGGGGGGGGGTTGAAAAACTATGGCTCAAATTTTTTCAGATTTTTTCGGCAGCCCAGTTTGGAGATGTTTTTTTTTCTCTTTTTTCCGTTTTTTTTTCAATAACTCGAGTTCTATCCATCCGATTTTGATTTATTAAGCGTCAAAATTTTTCATTTTTTACTGCCTACAAGAATATTCCTAGTAAAAATTGTTTTGCGATCTTCAAATCCTTATAATAACAAATTTTCGAGGAAAAAAAGTTGAGAAAGTTGAATTTTGCAAATTATGTCACTTTTGATTTGTTTAATTTTTTTCAGTAATTCTTATAATCAAAACAAGTATTTTGAGCCTACATACAAGTTGAGGGTCATCGTGGATCTATTTTATTTTCAATTTTTTCTTTTCGAAATTTCGCAAATTTGGTCAAAACACCCGAAAATGGCGTTGATTGACTTTCATAAGAGACAGTATGAAGTGAATTTGACTGTATAGCTATACATTATATATTTTTTCGATACATAATCAAAGTCGTTTTAGAGTGTTTTGACCAAATTTGCGGAATTTCGAAAAGAAAAAATTGAAAATAAAATAGATCCAAGAGGATCCCCAACTTGTATAACGGCTTAAATTACTTGTAAATACTCTTATAAGAATTACTAAAAAAAATGAAACAAATCAAGGGACATAATTTGCAAAATTCAACTTTTTCAACTTTTTTTTCGAAAATTCGTTACTGTGAGCATCTAAAGATAAAAGAAATTTGTTACTAAAAATATTCTTATAGGCAGTAAGAAATGAAAAATTTTAACGCTTAATAAATCAAAATCGGATCATTAGAACTCGAATTATTGAAAAAAATTGAAAAAACAAGAAAAAAATCATCTCCAAACTGGGCTGCCGAAAAAATCTGAAAAAATTTGAGAGATAGTTTTTCACCCCCCCCCCCCCCCCCCAATCGTAGAAAAAATCGCCATCAATTTCCAAGAGGGTGAGAGTCAACGGTTGGCTCATTTGGCGTGGAATACCTCATATACTGGTAAAAGAATTTTTTTTAGATTTTTCGAAGCTATCATAAAACCTGTAGGCCATATTCGTTTTGTGACCTTCTTTTTCAATATTATTTTTTTCAATGTTATTCAGAAAATCAAAGTAAACAAAATAATTTAAAAAAAAACAAAAATGAAGCGATGCATTACTTTTTCCCAATTTGAGAACCAATTTTTACGTTTCCGTTTCTCTCGTTGGCTGTAATAATTATCCCAGTCTGAAAATTTCGTAGAACATGGAAAAATGTATGAATATTAAAGTAAAAGACCACTAAACAATTGAAACATTAGCCTGTGTAAATGGTACACGATTTTTTCAGAAAATTGTCATTTTAGCGCTCGTAGAGGGGTCAAATTTTTTAAAATATTTTCTTTCTGAAAGCTGAGCCTTTTTTACGTATGCTTGAATTTTTGCAGATTTTTCGTAGTGATCTGTGATAATTTGAAAAAATAATATTGAAAAAGAAGCTCTAAAATCGAATATGGCCTTGTTCTATGCTACCTTGAAAAATCTAAAAAAAATTCAGGACTACTTTTTTAACTTTTATAGGAGAGGGTGGGGTAAAATGAACACTTTTGACCTTTTTTGAAATGTTCGTGACGTGTTGAATTGTTCATGAAATGGAATAATTTTATTTTTCAATAGAAAGAACAATGATTCCTCTTTGCGATGAGCGTACATTGATCTCAATTGATAAATCTGTTTCTGAGTTATGAATATTTTAAAAAAGGTCCAAAGTGTCCATTTTACCCCATCCTCCCCTATGCTTCTGACGAAGAGTAATCTAAAATGTATGCATGGAGGAAAGTACCATTTTTCATGAAATGGCTCAAAAGTATTTTGATGGCTTCACGAATGACGCTTAGTATTTATTGAATCTATCAACTACAGCTGTGTTCTATGTACATTCCACTGAAATCTTTCTCTGTCAAGTAGAATTTGTTATTTTTGACCCAAAAAAAATAAAAGTCTAAGAATATAATTTATCGAAAGCCCATTTACAGGATCTGTCCCACTTGAATATATCCAATTTAAAATGCACACTTCTCTCGATAACCGTTACCCCAAAATTATATAAAAATATGCATGCGAAACATCGAAGGCAATTTCCAATCCCAATTACGCAAACGTCATTTCACTTTCACCCAGAAATCTCGAGATTTCATGAATCACCAATTCATTTTAATGAACAATCATCTCCAATGCTATCCCCCATTATTTCTATTACTTTTTGGTTTTACTAGCCCATGCAATAGTCAACAATTCTTTACTTCCACGAAGCAATCAAGCGTGGAATCACGCAGCAACAGGGAAACTACGAATTTCTTAGTATTTTTCTTCGAACCCAACAATTTTATGGTTTACCCCAAACGTAATGAATAGGTACATGAAATAGAGAAAAGTTGGTAAAAAAAGACAAATTAAAATCACAATAGAAAATAGTACTTGCCAAATTCAGCAGAGAATGCACCAATTACACAGAATGACACAATGACAAATTCTCGGAGCATGTTTTAACGTTGCACACTCACACTCACTGATATTATTTTGTCCTACACCCAATCGGTCCACCGGGTCTTTCAATCCGGTGCAGTTACTTAGGCACAACACAATTCACATACACAACATACAAACATCAAACAACCTCGCTCGTAGCCCGGTGCTCGCGCTTTCACTCTCGGCAATGTATCTGAGATCGCTCCTTTAATCCCGGCCATTTTTTCGTTGGTGAATTATATAATTTTTAGTTTTTATTTCGGAAGGGGGTTCTTAAAGGCGGTGGAGTGTGGCTTCTTCTTGGAGGGGGTAGGTGGGATTGGAGATATTGGTCCGACTTTTGGAGGCAGAGACATAGGTGTCAGGTTTTTCTTTGTCTTGGGATTTAGTGGAGTGCATTCGAGTTGAGGAATTTTGTTTCTATTTTTTATTTTTCATTCGTACTGGCCTTTTTTTAACAGCCTCAGGAATTTTCATTTGAAATGAAGGAAAAATGTGATGGGTAAAATAAATTTTCCCCTTTGTAACGTAGTTTTTCGAAGTCAAGTTGTAAAATTTGTAAGTTGTCAGTAAAAAAATACAAGACGCATCTCACCGCATTTTCAATGAATTTTCACGATACACCGCTCAGTAATTTTGACTGCATTTTCCTTTCAATTTTTTTTATTTTCCTCGCTGTGGTTGCTAAATTGTGATTGAAAAAGTTAGGACTTGGATGAATATTCGCGAAAATAAAACAGTGCCCCGAACCCAGATTTCGAATGTCCAAAGTTGACGATAAAAAAAAAATGTCCAAAACCGACCCACCCCAGTTGTCGAATAACGTGGGCGCAGTTTTCGAATAATGCGAATTAAAGGGGTTCGGGCGAAGAAAATTTAGAAAATTGTTTATGAAAAACGTATCCAGAGCAATTTTATTGTTATTTCAATAGTAAAAGCCTGATTGAAGACTAGTGAATGAGTTCTCTTTTCAACTGTTTCCCCCTCGCCCCTTTCTGGAAGAGGAAAGGGGCCGAAGGGGAAACATTTGGAGCAACGTAGTGGCGAAGAGGCTTTTTCTCACAACGTTGGTACTCTTCTTTTTAGCTTGAGTCAGTTCTTTTTTTTCTGAGTTTTTCTTCTAAATCCTTTTCTTTTTTGATTGTATGAGCTCATTTAGTAACACCCTGTTGAATTTTCAACTCACGTTTATTCTGGACAGGTATGAAATCGGTTGTAAGGTTAGAAAGAATACATTCGCCAAGTCCTCGCACCTCGTATTCTATGAACCCAAATCTCGAATGCTCTATTTCTTATAGATTTTTATTTATTTTTCGTTTTGTTTCAATCTATATCGATTCATAAATTATCCCTCAGCTCATAGAAACTGATTAAAATCAATTGGTTGCTAACATTTTGTCTCGAGATCCTTATGAAGTGTGACGGAATCCAAATGCCTGGGGGCCTATTCTCGAAATATTTCCGTGCGCGAATCGACTCCGTTGACGGAACGCCTATATGATTTCTATACGCAATTCGTCTACGAAGCCACTTCCTTGCACAGAAACATTTCGAGAATAGGCCCCCTGTGCACTATATAAGGCTCGATAAACAGATCAGTCGATCGAGCACTCCCGATAAATGTAATTTTAGGAATTTATCGCACTCTGTGATATTCGTGCAGAAATAGCTGCACTTCGAGAGCAAAACAATGAAAATGGACTTCGTTGCTTTTGAATATTTATTTGTTCGAAATAATACCGCAGGGGTGCTCCAAATTCGGCTATTTGGGTCCCATTGGAAAACTGGTGTCACCACGGTATGTGTTTATTCTCAAACTGCACAGATGGACAGGTTCAGATTAGACTCTAAAAATAGAAGTCTCCAGAATCAAGCACCAACGATAAAACAAGTCATAAAAATTGAATTGAGAATCTGAATTGACCTTATCATGGAGCTCATAACTCTGCAGGCGGAGGATAATGAATTGAAAAGAATGTGATCATTCTCTAGTAATATAACGTACCGGGGAAATTAGCGAGAAACTTTTTTTGAATGTAAGGAAATGATGAACAAAAATTGAATTAGGATTTTTCACCTGATTTTCCCTATACCATAGCTATTCCCAGCTCAAACTTCATGTTTTCACCCAACCCATCCCTTAAAGGTGCATATGAGTAAAAGCCCGAGGGCTGAAACCATGTAAAATAGCTGTAAGTTAACAATGTACACTCCGCTGCCTTGTTGTATCATTGATGTTAATAAAAATCTTTGAAAGTTAATGAACAAAAATAAAAATAGATGAACAAAAATTATTGTCTGATATTTTCTCCTCCAATCACTGGTTGGAGAGATGAGTAACACGGTTTGAATTCACAAAGCCAATTAGTAAGGATTTCGAGGTTCTTTATGTTGTTGTTCGAACATTGGAGGCATTTCGTCAGAGCCAAACTTCGGACTATGCACCATCATTTTTTTACCAGCATTTAACAAAGCACTGTCAGATTTTTGCAGATCTGTTTTCTAGCTGTAGTATCCATTGTCCATGAGATTTTATGCGTAGATTTCCTGTTTTCTGGATTGCAGTTCCTAAAATCTCAGTTATTTCTGCGAAAAAAAATCGCAGTTCTAATTATCATTAACGATTTACTTGTTAATTACCCTAACATGTAAACTATGAGAGATCGAAAAAAAAAATTTTGTCACGAAAAGTCCGCAATCTAAATATGAATATTTCCTGTTTGTTATGAATTCATAAGTAGGGGATAGCATAAATTGTCATGCCCCGCAATACATTGCGTTGTAGCCTCCTCGTGCCGTGTGGTTACACGTGAGGGTCCTTTCAGCCATATCTTAGAAGTCGAAGGAGATACAGAAAATGTACCAATAACAAAAATTATGTTTCAAGTAATTTTTTTTCGACTAATTTATTTGTCTGGTGTATACCCTCGGGTTTTTACATTTTTTGTTCCCCAAACCCCTTAAAGCTAGAGTATCAATACCGCACCATATGGGCTACATTGAGTTTTACATTGTTTTAACACTATTATTATTAAGATTAGTATTATTATTATTAATTTCTTAATTTTTTCTTCTCGTATATCCTTTCGGGTCTTTATGATTTGTTCCCTTCCCACCCCCCAACCCCCTGTACCGCATTCGCCGAAGGACAAGGGAAAACCTCATTTGAGGGAAAAACCTGCCCAGGTATAGTCGTTTCTTGCGAGACTCCCGCTCGACAATGAAACCTTGAGATTTAGAGTGTCACAAATTTTGGCCCCCCCAGCCGGGAATCGAACCCAGGTCTCCCGCATGCCAATCCCACACTCTAACCACACAGCTACCGCCGTCGGTTATTATTATTATTATTATTATTATTACCGGTGTACATTATTCAGTCATTCCTATACTTGAGTAATCACATTTACATTCACATTTGGACTGTAGGACTACTCAGATATATAGAAATAACACCGGATCGCCTCCATATCCGTGTCCTAAAGTGGGGCAAGCTTAAACAAACAAAAAGCTTAAAGTAAAATAGGAAATGAAAAAGATAATAAAAAGATATATAGGAAACAAATGAAAACCCAAGAGATGAAGGAAGTTGCCCTAGCCTACTGCCTTTTTTCGCTGAGATCCAGAGACTTGAGATGTAAGGGACATTATAAGAAGTTCTTCGCCATAACAACGGCATTATCATCAAAGAAAAAGAAAAACCGATGATTAGCGTAGTTATGTTTCAAGTAATTCTCAATATTTGTTGATAAGAGATTTTTTCTAAACTCCAATTATTCAAATTCAACTGTGAATTTTTTGGAAAAATAATCGACTTTTCCGGAATCAGCAACCCAAGAAACACAGAAGCCACACATGAAATTTTATGGGTACCTACTGAAACTGAACAGGGTCACTGGGATCATACTGAGCTAATTTCGAACAAATAGTTTCTTGACTTTTTTCCAGAAATTCATGTGTATTTCATCCCTCCCTGTATACTGATAACTGCAATCATTTTCTTATTCCAATCGATTTTTAATTGACATTACGCATGATTTGTTCTGACGTTTTGATGGAAAACGATGTGGTTACGTGGGTTATTTCACACTTGTTATGAGCCGTGATTATGAAGCGGTAATAGGATACGTAATGCTGTGTATTATGCGGAGATACAGAGAGATTGTCTGCTTCGAGCGCAGATTACTCCATTCTATGTATTTCTCTTTTTCATTTGTCTCCTTTTCCTTCTTTCCCTGGTTTTCTACTCTTCATTTAAGAAAATTGGAGATTATCCTCAATGAAAGTTCGTCAATGAGAAATCGTGAATGATAATCACAAATGACAAAACTTCATTCAGAGATTCGTTTAACATTATGCAACTCTAATAGGAAATTCTTACTTTCGGATAGTCATCAACATGTTTTCTTCAGATACTAAGTGATTATTTTTTTAAATTTGAACTCACAGGAAAAATACCGGAGTTCATGTTTGTTAATCACATGATGAGTACCATCGAGTGAAGATTTATAATCTTACACTAAAATGAATCAACAGATTGTAAATAAGAGTTCCAAATCAAATAAAGGATTTTTTCTAATCACTCATATTTGTTGTTTTAATGTAATTTTTTATTTGGAGTGAGTGTTTTTCCAGTTAATTAACTCTAGTCTAGTTATCAAACGCGACCCTGCAACTCTGATCACCTCCGCGGGGATTCCCCGCTGTGTTATTTAGACTCTAGTGTTACCGACTGCACTCTACACTAGGGATGTGAAATGACCGTGATTTTTCAATTCGGTCAGGTCAGGCAAAATTGACCATTTTCTGACCATTTTCTGACACCGAGATAATTCCCCATGCAAAATGATCGTCATGAACAACCAGCGTCAAAAATTTGAGGAAATAACCAAAATTCCTCTATATAGATGCAAATTGACGGTCATTTTATTTTTGATAATTTTTTCGGTCAGATTTTTGGTTATTTTATTTCATTAGTTAGGAATTGAATCGCATTTCATAATTTAAAATTAATGTTTATTGGAACGAATTACAACACAATCATAAATTCGATACTCGAGATCACTCATGATAAACTCATGAACTTAATAAACGTCAACAAAATTAATAAAATATAGATCTCTGTATATATTATGTTTTTGATCAAAAACTTCATATTAAATTAGGAGGATGCTGGATGAGGCTCGCCTTCAGTCCTTCTCTCCTTAATTCGCATAATTGCCACCGGGTCTCTCATCTAGTTCGCTCAGCTCTTCACCTGAATTGCTTGCTGAACGAATTTAGTTATCTAGTGTCGCATAGACCCCTAGTGGCGACGTAGGGTCTCTATGAACGCCAGTAATCTTGCCGACACCGAGTAACCGAATAAAAATTTCTGTGTCATCTATATAGATGAGAATTGACCGTCAGAATTGAATTGGTCATTTTTTGAATTCCTGACCGAATCGTCAGATTTATGGACATGGTAATTACCCGTCATGACCGCGGTAATTGACCGTCATTTGACCGGTCATTTTTGTCACTCACACCCCTACTCTACACTGTCCGGGCGTGTTCAGCGAGGTTCCGACAACGTCGCGTGAGGAACAATTATATTTAACATGTGAAAAAATAATTCACCTGTTCGAAACAATTTGTTTTCTTTAGGAATTTCGGGAAATATATTGTTTTAAAAACTACTATAATTCTTTAGACACTTCAATTGAGAAAGTCAAATTTTTTTTAATGTTTTCGGTTAGCTAGTCAATTGTAAACGAAGAAAAAAGACGCGCGGCGGAGTTCTCCTCATATCGTGACCAATCTAGAACTCCCTAAATTCATAAAATAAGCGGAAAATAATAAACGAGTGCTTTTGAATACTAAAATTAAAAATAATTAATTATTAAGGGTAGAGGAAGAAGGGGAGGGTTTTTAATTAGTTATTATTATTATTTCAAAAGTGTTTTGAAATAATAATTGTATAAATACACATTGAGAAAAAAATGCGAGGTTAAATTTTTAATTTGATTCAAATAATAATCCTTTTGTGGAATAGTTCTGTTCCAGAAAATTGAATATTGGAAAATTCATGGAATTATCCAATTATTGTCATGTGTCGAGATTTCCTTATTATTAGACACTTTCAACACTAATAATTCCTTGAAACCCAGTTTTAATGACGTTTTCATTCATTTGAATCGAAAATGAGAGCAACTTAATCGTTAAACCATGAACTAAAAAGAATGCCGGAAATTAGAAATCTAATTAATAGTACCATTTTCTCAATCATTGAGGTATTCCATGTCAAATCAGTCAAATCTTGATCCTCATCCTGTCAGAAGTGAATGTGGATTTTTTACAGGGCTAAGAGGCTTGAAAAACGATCTCCTGATGTTCTCGAAATTTTTCTACCGCCCACTGCGGCTGAAAATTTCCCTACACCTTCTGGATTTGTCCCATATTTGATGCTGCACACAATTTCATTGACTGTAAAGGTAAAACCATAAATTTGTCAACAACCTGATAAGAATGATTGCACTCGAACCCAGGTAAGACAAAAGCGAGTGCAATGTTCATTGGCTCACCAGTGAAAGTATTCTCCACTGACGGCAACTAGCATCTGCATTTCTTCGTACGACTTGACTTACTACGTACCGAGCTTTCCCACTTACAATATCTAGTAATTTTTCGTAGAGAAAATCCAACACTCAACCGGTGCAACAAAATGTTTCTCTCCATTGGATTAATCGTCACTCATTTCGTGACATTCAGTGTTTCCCAGACACCTCGTAAATATTTTGAACCCTGTTACCATAAAAACAAAGATTTTTGTATCATAAATACTTTTTATATTCTCCAGCTGAATATGTTAAACAGTGCTCCAGAAGTGATCCGCAATTGAAATCATGTTTAATCGATGCTCTTCATCATTTGAGACCTTATCTCAAGGATGGAATACCGGAAATTGAATTACCATCGGTGGAACCGTTTAAGGTAAGTTTTGGCTATTCATCAGAAAATATTTTTTGTCAGATATTTCTTTAGTCACCAAAAAAAAACTCGAAATCTTTGTTGACACAAGGTCTTTCGAAAAGTATTTGCTAAATAGTCTGAATGGAATTTTTTAATGCACCTTCCCCCAACTGTGTTTATTGTAATATTGCAATCGTTCGATATTTATTTATTTTAGTTTTGCTTGAAAATTATGTAGAATTATCTGCAACGTAAAAATTCAAAGTTTGGCGACAATGTTCGAATGTACCGGTATCCGCTGCCCTCCTTTTAAAGGTCAATTTTTTCTAAGTTAAATAATTAAACAACTGAAACAATGTTTATAAATCTGCAATTTTTTTAGATAGTAAATATCGATTTCGACGAACTCGTAATTCGAAAGATAATTTTGGACCGATCGGTACATTAGTTATGAAGGTAGAGCGATTTGTTTTCCGATAGTTTTCCACCAATATCTCAAAAAATATTCAACCGATTTTAATCATTATTTTTTCTAAATATTCGTTTCAGAGTTCTCTATCGCAATGAATCAAAATGTATTATAAATGTATTGTATAATTCGAAATCTTTCCATCTCTCTGTTTTGCACTTAAAAACTTTATACACACTCCAACTTTTGAAAAGATTGCGATATTAACTTTATATTTGGCTTCAGCCTTCTCTTATCATTCCAATGATTTGTATTGAAGATTGATTAAATCAAATGGTTTGTCTCGGAGGAATCATACCTTTATAGATGGCCCATTCCGCCAAAGATCGTACGAGTCTCTGAATTTTCGCCAATTTTTTGTTGCTGTTCTTGATACTTACGTACAGAAAAGAAGATTTATCGGCTAGTAGAGATCTCGTGCCTTAGAGGCGCTCCGCGTGATTAAACATTTTAAACTTGAAATACTATCCTCTTATTTAACGTGTTGAAAAATGATTAGAAAAAAATTAAAAATATAATGTGTTTTCGAAAATTTTTGTGATCGAAGTTTTTCAAAAATGGTAGTCATTTTGGTCCTCCCCGGGCAGAAAAATTTCTGTCTTTGGAAGATCTTCCAAGAATCTTCGGCAGAAATCTTCAAAAGATTATCTCAAAGAGCTTTCTGGTGACCCCAATAGATTCTGCGGAAGAGAAAATCTTCCAGAGACAATGCTGAAAGATCTTCGGAAGACACCTGTTTTCTACAAAATCTTCCTGAAAGAATGTTGGAAGACCGTCGGAAGATGACTTTTTTTCTAGAAAATCTTCCGGAGAAAATGTTGAAAGATCTTCGGAAAAAACTGTTTTTTTCTGGGAAATTTTCCAGAATAAAAGTTGGCAGATCTTCGGAAGACGACTTTTTTATGTCTTTAAAAAATTGTTCAGTAGTTTTTTCTCTGTTAAAAATTTACAAGATGTAGAAGGATGTTCCCAAAGGCAACGAGTTGAATAGGAGGAGGATTCATTCTTGTGTGTAAACATTCGCAAATGAAATTATTCCGGCGATTACCTGAAAATCAGGGTAGTAGTCTCAACCTCTACGTTTGCATCTTGTCTCTCTCTTTTGGACCTTCTCTATCGATTCACATCTATCTTCATATACTGACGGTTCTTTACCAGTAGGATTCAAGTTGGGTCATCAATCTTGGATTCAGATGGATCTGGGTTATGGTTCATTTAACGCAAAGAAAATGAAGTTGAATTCTAAACTTGACATCTTGAAGTCCCGAGGATCAAAATTTTCCAGTTTGAAAATTTTTCACCTTCAAAATTCCCCAGCATTAAAATTTTCCAGCTTCAAAGTTTTCCACCTTCGAAATTCTTCAGCTCCATAGTTTTTCAGATTCCGAATTTACCCACTTCAAAATCCATTCACTTGAAACCCACCCACTCCAAAATTTCCCCCCTTCAACATGATCCACTGTAAAATTTCCCGCTTCAAAATCCACCGTTTCAAAACTCCCACTTCAAACCCCCACTTCGAAATTTCACACTTCAAAACCACCCGCTTCAAAATTCCACACTTCAACTTCTCCACTTCAAACTGTCGTGTTTCAAACTTCCCCACTTCAAAATTCTCAACTTCAAAATCACACGCTTCAAACATTCCCACTTCAAACCCCCGCCTGAAGATTTCCCACTTCGACCGTTCCCACTTCAGCTGTTCTCACTTCAAACATTTCCACTTTAAAATTTCGAAGTGGGGAATTTTTAAGTAGGAAATTTTGAAATGGGAAATTTTGAAGTAGAAAATGTTAAATAGGCGTATGTTGAAGTGGGTGGATTTTGAAGTGAGTGGATTTTGAAGTGGGTAAATTCCGAATCTGAAAAACTATGGAGCTGGGGAATTTTGAAGGTGAAAAATTTTCAAGCTCGAAAATTTTAATGCTGGGGATTTCAAGATGTCAGGTTTAGAATCCAACTTCATTTTCCTTGCGTTGAATGAACCATACCATGTGAATCCAAGACTGATGGCCCAATTTGAATTCCACTGGTAAAGAACCGTCAGTATATGTGTAAAAAGAGATGTGGTTAATAATAAAGGGTCAAGACCGAGACACAAGATCCAAACGTAGAGGTTGAGACTACCACCGTGATCTTCAATTAATCACCAGAATAATTCCATTTGCGAATGCTTACATACAAGAATGAATCCTCCTCCTATAGATTCAACTCGTTGCCTTTGGGAACATCCTTCTACAACTTGTCAATTTTTGACTGAGAAAAAAATTACTGGACAATCTTCTGAAGACATAAAAGTGGGCAAATCTTCTTCCGAAGATCTGCCAGCTTTTATTATGGAAAATTTCCTCGAAAAAAAAGTTGCCTTCCGAAGATTGTCCAACATTTTTTCAGGAAGATTTGATAGAAAATAAAAGTTGTCTTCCGAAGACCTTTCAGCATTGTCTCTAGAAGATTTTCTCTTCCGAAGAATCTTTTGGGGTCACCAGAAAGCTTTTTGAGATAATCTTTTCAATATTTCTTCCGAAGATTCTTGGAAGATCTTCAAAGACAGAAATTTTTCTACCCGGGGTCCATTTCAACTTCATGGTAAAAATCGAAAAAATTAAAGTTCGAAAGTTGATTGAGCCTGTTCCCAAATCGATCGAGTTCAATTAAAGTTAAAATATTCATTTCGATGTCTTCGATCCCAATCACTCTTAAGATGTTTACCCGTTCGTATGAAGTTCCCAAAATGTTGGAATTTTGTTGCCAATTGTTGTGAGCGATTTTCTTATAAATATCTGAATAACTACTGACTCTGATTTTATATATTGATAATGTCAATACGAATACTAGAGGCGAAACCATTCAGAAGCCCGCAATCCATGTACTGATGACGAAAACAGTACTAATGCACCGCCAAGAAAAACATTTACAGTCGCACGGTTGCGTTCGTCTTTTAATTGTTCGGCTATCGTCGTGGATAACTTGAACAGGAAACATAGAAAGACTTTTTAGAAATATCCTCAGCTACAAAAAACATCTTTCGACATCTCTCTACGTAACGACTTATGAACCAACTTACGGAGAAAAATTTTCTGGAAAAATTATTTTGGAACATTAGAAAAATCGTCATGCTATACCAAAAAAATTATTGTGCGACACTATAAAAATTACTGTGCATCACCGAAAAAATTGTTAAGGGCACCATCGAAATTTGTTTTATGTTGGACGACAGTTTTTCAAAGTGTGCAGATTACACGACGTTTATGATAGTTAGTACATGTATTTTTCTAGAAAATTTTTCTTCGTGTATCATATTAGTCAATAAAGTAAATTTTTTAGTTAGGAAAATCGATTTTAAATATTTTTATCAAGAGATATTTTTCCTTAATTTTCGGATCATAATTTTTTGTTTCGATAACTAGACTAATCCGATGTTTTGAAATCTCTTATTCCTTCAATTCATTAAACAGATGGATGAGCTGACATTGTCCCTAACAGGTGGCATAAACGGTTATCGAGTGCAATTGCGAGAGCTTTTTGTTAAAGGCGCCAGTAACTTCACAGTCATGGACATAAAGCTTGGTTCACCGTTTGAAGCGATTGTTACAATGCCAGTGCTGGCATTGAATGCCAATTACCAGAGGTGAGTCACCCATGAAACTGAATGGATGAAATTGGTCACGATATATATGTTCGAGAACTTCAAGAATAATTAAAGATATACATATAGAAACAAAAAAGTGAAAATAATATCGAGAGACATTTTTTATAAAAAATTTCCAGATCCATAGAACATTCTTCGATTGTTTTTCTCTAGAACTAAGGTAGATGATTCAGTGTCTGATCAGCCAAGTCCAGTAGCCTATTAATAAAAAAAAATAAAGTCCAGTAGCCTGAATCAAACATGAATAACAATAAGAGAGGTTAATCAAACTGCAAGAAAATGAAAAGAAAAATACGATGTTGAAAAAATATGGTCTTGGAGACTATTCCTGATCACCGCTTCTCCTTACGCATGAGTTTCTGATCATGAGTAGGCTGGAATTCAGGATTTGATTAAAATCTTCGGTTTGATATTTTAGGCTCCTAGAGAATTTCCACATTTCATTTTTTTTGCAATCGCATATTCATTCCAAGAAAATCAACACCTCATTTCCAATCATTTTATTGCCTGCCCGTATATACTTTTTTCAATCATCTTGATCGCTGTAATCAACATGATGATCAAAGCGAGGAGAACATGACGTAAATGTTTACACTGATCAAACTTTGCAACAAGAATTCCGCAAAAATCGATTGACTATGCTAAAAAAAAGGCTAAGAATATGGTTTATTATCTTACTAGTTTCAGAGATATTTGCAATGTAAATTCGATAAATTTTTTGACCAATTCTCTGTTTTTTTGCATGAATGCTAGGCAATTCAGTGAATAATTCTGATCGTTTTAGTTCTGGGGTATTAATTATCCTTCCTGCAAGTAGCAACGGCACATTTCACGCCAGATTCGATTACGTTGAGGCCCTAGTCAGGGGCACGTTGTCCACATCCATCAAGGATGAGAAAACCTATCTCCATGTTGAGGAACTTGATGTGCAGCTACGCGTTAAGGACGTATTCATGCGCGTCAGGAAAGACTCCACTCGTAATCGCATAATTAGTGAGTAATAAATTCTTATTTCTCTTTTCATTTTCCGCAATTTCCGATTCCCCTGGGAAGTGGTGAAAGGAGAAAACCAGAAAAAAATAAGTAACCATTATATCCTGAATATCTCTGGAACGTTTAAGTACTCTGGAAATGTCCGGAGACGTTTTTCCTACTTTATAAAATTCTCCACAGAAAATTACTTTTTACATTTTTTTTCTCTAAGCTCAGGAGTTCCTGAGATATTTTCGAAAGTGGCTACGCAAGAAGTCCCATTGAATCACTAGATGATTTCTGTGACGCCGTATTTTAAATCAAATTCAATGATTCATTGAATTCAACATTGCCCCAACGTTCAATTTTGTCTTTTTTGCTGAATATTGGTTTCAAAATAATTTTTTTCAGCAACAGATTATGCAATCAATCTCATGATCGAACTCGGTCAAAAGGTGATTCCCGAATGTGTGTGTGTGTGTGTGTGTGCGCGCGCCCGGTTCCATTATCTGCCGAACGTTATCTAAATTTATTTTTTTGTTCGATTTTTATCTCGAAATTTCAACTTGATGCTCCGTTACTGAAGGACATCCGAAACATTTTGAAAGAGCGTTTTTAATTAATATTGAAGAGTGGTTTCAGTAGAGGAGATATGAATAATGTATAATTACCGTGGCAAATGGCGGCCCGTCAGTTGCTATCGTGGAAGTGGAAAGACGAAATAATAAATCCTTTGGCATACCGCAACAAGACGATTATACGAAAAAATTATTGTAATATTTTTAAGCATCACACTTGTACGATGAATTACTCATCACTTACGCCAATCTCTTCCATTGATAATTGTACTGGCGATCAGCTGTCACTTTTGAATTGAAAACATGGGAAAATCGCTCTTTCTTTGTTTGTTTGCGCCCCCGACAGCAGTGGCAGTTGATGGACAGTACAATTTTCAATAGAGTAGATTCATGTAAATGATAAATAGTGCATCGTAACATTGTGATACAAAAATTCTTAAAAATATTGCAAAATTTTGCAAAGAGCTTCTTTTCATATACTTGTCTGGTTGCGCTGTGCCAAAGGATTTATTATTTCGTCTTTCCTCCTCCCATAGAAACGACTGACAGGCCCCCTGGTAACAATCTAATGTGGTTTGGAGCTCCCCCGGTCTTTACAGGGCGACATTCGGTGTTCCGCACTGATAGAAAAAATCTCTGACACGTAGAGTACAAGTTCTTGGCTCAAGAAACTACATCATTCGCGCCGTTTTAACTGAATGAATTCTTCATGACTTTGGATCAAAGAAATAGGGGAACTTGGCATAAAGTATTAAATATTGGACGGAAAGAGCAGGAAGTTTCGCGTGCATCATAATGCTTTCCATATTAGATCAGACTCGCTGGCAAGAATCTCTTGGCGGAAAGTAATCTTGCTTACATTTAATATCAATCTGATGAAGTTTCTCTTGTGTGTAGAATTCGTACTTTTCACTATAGATAATTCTGTTTTTCATGATTTTCGATAGAGGTGATAGGGTTTCCAATCAAGTAAATCGGTCCTGAGGGCACACATCTTCCTCTCAGAATATACTTCAATTAGGTAAAACTAAGAATCTCTTGTATCAAGAGATTCATGGTCAAAACCCCATTCTCTTGTCTCAAGAAACCACTGCTGTCGTGTCAGAGATTTTTTCTATCAGTGCGGCGACGCTACGCATAAGCGTCTGAGCAACACGCTCACGAGCGTCCGGGCGAGTGCGCCCAAGTGCGCTCTGCGGCCGATATGAAGGAGCTCACGAATGAGGTTATTCTTGCATTTCTAATTCGTTAGAGAATATGTTGAATATTGACTAAAAACAATTAAATATTTCGGCATTTGTCACGCTAATTATACATTATTCATATCTCCTGTAATAAACTCATTCCTCAATATTAACCCTTACACCAAACTCCCGGTCTGCGGGACCGCTATCGAATCTTTTACAGTATATAACTATTGATAAATGTAAGAAAAAACTTTGAAACTTTCAGTAGCTTATTATTTCATCGGTTCTAATGGATACAATGCGTTTTTGATTTTTTTTCACCCCGATAAATCTCTGAAACCACCAATGTTTCGTCTAATTTATACGAAAAAACATGTTCATAACAAACTTTTATGTGCGAAGAAAAAAAATTTAATTAAAGATACTCATACGTCTTGCCTCTTCTGTTCAACCCTTCCCCGTTTGACCCTTCCATCGTTTAACTGGTCCTTGTTTGATCTTTCCCCGTTTTAGCCCTCATTTCAGTAGCGAAGTGGTCAAACGGTTTAAGTCGATTTTGGCTATTGGCCAGTTTTCAATGAATATCTCGAAATCTAAGGGAGATACCAAAATTTTTCTCATAACCTTTTTAGTAGCACTCAATTTACTCTACAAAAAATGTTATTATAAAAATCTCGCTATTCCCCTTAAATTCGGAAATATTTCTAGAAAACTCAACTAAAGACTAAATTGACTTAAACCGTTTGACCACTTCGCTACTGATTTGAATCTTTAGTTATAGAAAGTATTGATTCATTCGCTCAAGAGCAAATGGGAAATGCGATCTAGACGAAGGAGTGGTCTGGCAGACCGCGAGGTACGGTAAACGTGCGTTTTCGGAGGGGTTCGATGTAAAGGTTAATCAAAATCGCTCTTTCAAAATGTTCAGAATTTTTTTCTACTTTTTTTCAATCCAAATTCATAATTTTCAAAGGTCTGAGTAAGGGGGCATCCAGTTCAAATTTCGAGATAAAAATAGAACAAAAAAAGCCATCTAGATAAGTTCGACAGATAATGGATCCGAACCTTCAACGATTATTTTTTCAGTTATCGTCGAAAAACGATCGGTCACATGCAATACATACATATGGTCTAAAAATAACACATTCAAACTCCTGACGCCAAAATTAGTTATCCTGAAACAAAAAATTCCAATTTTGGATTTGACGAATACAATGCTTCCATTTGGAAATAAACATGTAATTTAGTTTTTCTACTCGATTTCCATCATGTTATTCTCAAAAATTCCCAACCAGTAAATTTGGTCAACTTATTTCACTAGACTCCTTCCGTCCCACGTTATTCTCAAAATAATCTGCGAATATCTGTAGAATTTTCTCTTCCTAGTACTTCACGCATTTAATTATTAATCAATGTAACATCTTAACTCTTCAAGGTGAAGCAACGAATTTATTCCTCCGTGAAAATGGTCAGGAAGTGCTGAAAATCATGGAGCCACAGTTGAAGAAGAAATTGTCAGTATTATTTTCAGGTATTGTTAATCAATTACTGCGCCATGTACCAGTGGAGACGTTTCTTCTACCATAACAGTGAGATAATGAAACCCATCTCAACTAGTTTCTATTCTCCGTTATTTTTTTTTATCTGCTGGTGCATGTTACAAGATAAGCTGATACTTCTTTATTGATACTATTCAATTAATATGAAAGACACACAGTAGGGATATTAAATGTAAAATGGTTGTTAAATTAATTCAGTTATACAACAGTTTTTCAAATTTATTTATATTATTTTATTCGGCATGTGCAAAAATTGAATTATGAATTGAAATGTTGGAAAACATTTCGCAGTGAATGCAACTTTCCACTCGAGACTTTCTAAATGATGGCAGAGTTGACGCCTGAACCCGTCATTTTTTGTCTTTATTCATATATTTTTCTCTTCTTTAATAGTTTCTTCAGTCTTCAGTAGCTGAATTACTAAGATTTCTAAATTTCAACTGAATGTTACAAAAGATTTCATTACAAAGATTTCCAGGAATTGTAAATGTTGGATTCGCAATCGAAGGAAACCGACTTTTGAGCAAACATAATTCAGTTGTAACATAGTGGAAAGGCATATCGACTCATCAACGGTCGAATTAGCCTAGTGGAGAGTGGATTTAGGAGAAAATGCCAAAAGACCATTTTTGTGGGGAATGTCATCGTTCACAAATAAGGCTTTCTCACATTTTTCCTAAAACCACTTATTATTGAGATGATTACACATTTGAGAAAAATGCCCTATTTACGTTGTCTTTCGCCACTTAGCTGCCGAATTCTTTCAAGGAGAAATGGAATAAATTGGTAAGACAATGCCCTTTTTGGATCAAGGGAAGGTCTTCGAGAATGAGAGATTGGCGAAGATTCCGTTGATGAGATCTTTAAGACTAGCATTCCAGGTTTTTGCTGCAAATGGCAGCATTCCACGGTAGAGAATCTCCCAGTATTCATTTGCGAAACTAAGAGCTGCTCTCGCTGTAAAAAAGTAGAAAATATTATAAGTAATTAAAGTGAATCAGTATAGTGACACCGGTATAATTAACAATAGATACTGCATACGGTAATGATTGTCTTTTATTAATGGGTAACTTCAGGCATTACATCCCCAATAACAATTGCTAGAAGATTTTTTTTTGTAGCTATTTAAATTTGTAACGAATCATATTCTAAAACGTTTCTTTCTAAAATCATTCATTGTTAAGATATTTTAATGATAAAGAAGTAGGGAAGTAGTAGAAAATGGATTCAAAAGTAATAGGTGAAGGTTTCTCAAAAGAGCTAAAAAATGAGTGATTGATGGATTAAATCGGGAAGAAGCTTTTTTGTAGATGAAGAAACTCCCTCCCCCTTCAGGGTTTTGGATATTTAAGAATATTTGGTCTATCTGAACAATGCAGAGAACTGAATCAATATCAATGCTTCAATACTTTCTGTAATTCCTTTACAGGCCATATGGAAAATACACACAAGTGTTTCTCCACACGAGCAATGAAAATCAATTCTGAAATTGCTACTAACTCGTAAATTTCAGTAGTAAAGCGGTAAACCGGGTTAAGTCGATTTTAACTTTGGGTCAGTTTTTGATAAATATTTCAAAATCTAGGAAAGATAGCAGAATTTTTCTCACCATCTTTTTTATAACCCTCAATTGGCACTACAAAAAAGGTCGTGACAAAAATTTTTATATTTCTTTTAGATTCCGAGATATTCGTCAAAAACTGGCCAATAATCAAAATCGACTTGACCCGGTTTACCGCTTCGCTACTGATTTGAATAGAATATCAATAAGTTCAGTAGTTTCTCTACGTTATCCATCAATCGGCAATGTGGGAAAAATACTGAACTTATCGATGCCCCGCTCAACCTCATGTTTAAATAGCGGGATGTTTGAAGTTATGTACATGTGTCTATCAGAATTCGCCTTGTGGTATCTGTAATTCGAATCCCACGCTGTATAAATCATTACCTGTCATTCTCATATTCCTAATTCATTGAATATTTGTTCCCAATAGCTCTCATCATTTGGATCAGATATCAATGAATTTCAACTCCAATATGCGCATGAATATAAATTCATTGTACAGTACATATTATGTTAAAAAGAAACGTGAACAATTTATGATGTGCGATAAGTCATTCGGCAGAACCAAATTCATGTTGATGTTCGAAAATCCCTTAAGCAGCAATTTCAAATTTTATTTCCGTTGTTATTCAGTAGCTGCAATTGAATACTTTAAATGAATAGATTAAATAATCTATCAAAACATTTTTATTCAATTCTTTTCATCGTTCAAATACCCTCTGACCACACTGCAATATTTTCAAAATCACTTGTTCCTGAAGTGATCTTACTGTAATGCAGAATTTGTTAATTATTTTGTACTCACTGAGCTGTTGATTTCCATTGAACAAGTCAGAAGCCCAAATTTTCATGTCTCCAACCTCGGGCGTGAGACTGAGCCTCTCCACAACCCATTTGTCACTAATTACTGGCCCCTCGAGCACGAGCATGCATCTGACGTCCGTCATACTGATATTGAATTGTCCTAAACAGAAGGAAATGGTTGAAAATGGTAAAGGATAATTTTACGATGTTTATCCATGTTTGAGAAAAATTCTGTAATTTTGAGACTAATGGGAGTACGCAAGTAATTATTCCTTATAATGAAGAAAAATTAGTAACACTAGTTTATACACAAATTAAAGTAGCTCTACCCCTACGGCTGGACTCGTTGAGTGCTTTTGAAAATAAAATATTCCAAAAATAATTTTTTTGATGTCCAAATTATTAAAATAATTTATAAAGGACATAAGTATAAGAATTATTTTATTATTAATTGTTTTCAATAAAAGTGTGAATAAATAGATTTTCAATTGACTAGCTTCGAAAAATTAGTGGCAACACTGCAGGATAATGTGACGGGTGAGAGAGGTGAGAGAGGTCCCACCAAGTGACAGCTGACCGAGCCGTCGTTGCCACGTCTACTCCTGTTCACAGTCTCCCGTGATTCTGGTTGGAAATTGTTAATAATAAAAAAAACTAAACGATAAATCGTTATCTAACAGGTGCCAATATTTTTTATTATTTTTTTCTCGTTTTTAGGAAAGAAAATTAGATTTTAATCTTTGTTTCAACCGGAGCTGTGTCAAATTTAGCGTTTTTCACATAAGACCCTGTGTTAAATAATGAATTTTCAACATGTTCATTTATAAGAACTTGAATGACAATTAAATGAGGAAAAAAATTACGATTACGAATCACACAGTTTTTAGGCGATTTGTTATAGTTTTTAAAAATCTTTGAATTGAAAGATAACCTCCTAAGGGTAGAGCTACTTTAAATATACTATTGCCACGGATGTCAAACCCTATTTTTCATCACAATGTATGGATAAGGAGATTTTGCCACGCCAGGCGTGCGTAAAATTTCACTTTACGCACATGTGATGAAATAGTATATTTCGATACGATAGCGGGAAAGTGTTTTTGGGCTCGTGGAAGGTTTATAGCATGATCCGAAAGCGAGTGATATAAGCCCACGAGTCTAAAAACACTTTTCCCGCGAGTATGGAACCCTATTTTTCATCACAATGTGTGGGAAGTGGGGTTTTGCGCACGCGAAGCGTGCGTAAAAGGTTACTTTACACACAGCGTGATGAAATATACTATTTTGTGATACCTGCCTCAAAAGTGCACTTTTCGAAGTGGTTTAGTGTACGCAAAGCGGTCAGTTTCCGCACGCCGTGCGTAACGTTCACGAGCGTGCGTAAAGCTTCGTTTTACACACTCGAAACTCACTTTACGTACTCGTGCACAAAATCAACCACATTACCCCGACTACCGTTCCGGACAGTGAACTCGGCAGATACTACAAAAAAAAGAGGACGTGTTACACGTGCGTGTGAAAAAGTGGAACTTTACGCACTTGTAACACAATATACTATTTGAGAAATATAACTGTGTCTATTAGTTGAAAAAAATGAAGTTCTTGCGATTTTGGATGAACATCCTAAAAAACGGTTTTACCCTTTCCGCCAATTCTAAAGGCTCCAATGGTTCCCTCGGCCTTGTAGTCACCCTCCACGAGGACCTTGGGCAACTCGTAGTCAATGTCAAGACGGAAGTGGTCGTCCTCGTGGTAGGGTCTCACTGATAAGAAACGCGCTTTGGCTAGTCCATAGGATTTGGAGTTTCTTACAGATATTCTTCCAGTGACTTCACCAACTGCATAGTTGTTATTGGATACATCCACCACGAAGGGATCCAACTGGGGCACGTTCAGCTCAGGAATGCCTTAATTACATTAATTAATACATAATTCATTGCATGATTGTGTGATTGTAGAAGTCGTATCTAGTTACAACCATAATTGATTAAGAATTGATTCCATCACCATGTAAATATTTTGAAAATGCAAGGTGTTGCCAAGAAAATGTCGAAATAAGAACTTTTCTGTTTTCTTCAAAAACTTCGCAGTAAAACATGTCTCTTGAAATTTTTTCAGGAAGTCAATAATTATCGTGGAAATCAATGAGAACTTCGGTACCATTTTCATCGCTACCCCTTTTGTTGATTATGTGAAAAACGTTTTTTTTGTGTAGAGTAACAAATGGAATGGTGTTGAAAATGAATTCATATTTTCATTTCTTGTGGCAGGAAAATAACGTGACGTGAGCACCTTGTTCACAAATTTCAGGGAGATATAGAATAGAAAATCGGGAATTCAAAGGTACAAAAATTACTAAATTCCGATAATAGACTTTCAAATAATGAACATTAGAATTTTTCAATATTTCAGCAAATTACATTACGATTGACTACCACTAGATTGGAAACCATGACGTAGGTGTCAATGGGACTTGATATGATAGTTAATATGAGTCTTCATGTTGATAAAATTATCAGTTCATGGTTGCAATGAACATTGCTCAAACTATCGCACTAATGGTGATCCAACTATCGCGCATAATGCCACTGAAATCATCGTATTAAATATCGCCATAATTGTCATGCCATCGCCATTTTCAATCATGGCGGCATGGCGGGAGCCCAACATGATGTTATTGGGCGAATCATTGAAAAATTCTAACGCTTACTATTCAAAAATTTATTATCGTAATTTCATAATTCTTATGCCATTGACTTACTGATTTTTCATTCTATATTCCCTCACAATTTGTAAACAAGGTGCTGACGTCTCCCTGTATGAACACACTAGTTCCTGCCAATTCATTTGCAAATGAATTGAGTTGCATAAGAATTTTCAACCTAAATTTGTAGGAAATTGACTTAGACTATTTGAGGGAAAATCATTAATGGTTTCAGAGTGATGTAATGAGAATACGTGAAAAGCAAATTCATATATTTGTTCTCCCTGGTTTAGGATAAAAGTAATAAACGAACGTATGCGGAAGTTTGCAAACTGATGTGCAATGATTTACGTTACATTAGGATTCTCCAGTGATGAGATGACCATTCTTGATTTGTCCTCAAACGATTTCCACTATTTTATGCAGATGAAAATTATTATCACGATAAATTTCTTATACAACACAAACCAATTGCAAATGAATATGCAGAGCTCACTGTATGCATTTTTATTATTCTTCTCCTGTATCAAGGAACTAAATTAACGAAATTTACAAAAATAAAACAATTTAGTGAGACAATCAATGCGTAATTATACTTTGTTATCATAAAAATGTCTTCAACCCGAATGACTCCATAACGAAGAAAATTCCATTAAAAAATATCTTTGAACATTTTCCATTAAGTCTTTAATCACCACGACGCCTTCATTTTTAATCCGCCGACAAAAATTTTTTCCGACAATCACTCAAAAATAATTTCTAAAAATTCAGTAAAAGTTTAAAAAAACGCACCATTAACGAAAATTGGCCAAGCTTCTTGAATAGCAAGCCTCAAGCATGAGGCGTAATCGTCCGAATCCTTCTTGCACGTCTTGACAGCCTCCGCTGGAAGAACAGCAAAACTCATAGAAAACGCAAAAATTCCACGAAAGCTCGTAAAAATAACAAAAAGTAAAAAAAAACTTACGTAAATCAACTTCACGTGAATGGACGAGAGCAGACACACAAATCACGAGAATAATTACCTTCCAAAGCGCCATATTTACACAGATTCAATGAAAACAATATGAGAAAATGACGGGTCTGGCACTAACTTGGGATGCGAGAGGCCCACTGTTTCACTTTATATAGTTTTTCGAGCCCAAGGACTCGCAGCCGTGTGTCGAGTAGTTGCGTTGCAAAATTGCATGTCATTAAATTGCAGAAGAAAAAACTATCTGGGGGTGGGGGAGAGGTGGATGCAGGTGCAACTGAGAAATACTAATGATGAATGTTGTTGGTGGATAGGGATAAATGCATTCATGAATTTGATTTTTCGATTTTTTTCTTTCTTCATTTTATTACTATTTATGTGGACAAGTTAAGAGAGGAAACGAAACATGACAGAGTCATTAAGTCTGAGGTTTCAGCTATTAAAACACATCTTTTATTTAGTTGATGGATCTTCAGTGTCAATTAGCGGGGAATAATTCACTTGCTTCATTTAATTTGACACTCAAACGGTTTATTAATATTCTTGACACCTTTTTCCTTTTGTTTTTTTTTCGTTTCAATGCCCATGAAAATTTCCATTGTTGTTTTATTTCTGCATTCCCGATTTCTAATGGGAATATTTATTCATCAAGGTTTATTAATTAGGTGATCACCTTGGGAACGAGTGGCCTTAACGAAAAATATCAAGAGACATATTTTATAAATTTTGGAGGAAAACCAAAATTTCCTCCGCAAGTTTATTCGAAACGTCTCTCATTTTCGAGATATTCAAGAAATTCCGAAAAAAGTTAATCAAATTTTGATTGTTTATGAATCAGGTAATTAGCTTGAAAATTACACTGAGAGAAAAACAGCAAATTTCTCAAACAAGTCTTACTTGCGCCAAACATGCAAAACGTGCGCCGAGATTAAAAATTTTTATCACAAAATTCGAGTTGGTATTTTCAAAAAAAAATTATTCTCTGTGCAAACCTGAAATGTAATTTCTACCACTACTTCTTCGTTATTCGATACTCCCATACGTATTTTGCTCCCGGCAAACGCTCGTTTTATACACTGATAGAATGATTCATTTATTCCAAACGAGATTCGTTAACTATCAACGAATGGTAGAGTTGAATATGACCAAATGAATATTCGTTAATAGTTAACGAATGGTTCACTTGAATGGCGAAAGTCAAGTCAAACAAGGCTCCTCAAATATACATTCGTTAACTATTAACGAATGAACATTTGGTGAGACCGAATAGACCCTAACCTCCAACCAAAATCCATTCGTTAACAATAACTAATCCGTTCTATCAGTGTACGAGACAAGGGGGAGTAGTTTGTCATTTTGGCTATTCAATAATCACAGATAAAAAATGAATTTTTAAATGAGATAATAATAATGATATGACAGCAACCTTATAACTGAGGGATAAAATATTGCTTGATAAACTTCGCTCTATAAAAGATATTGTTATCCTGAAAAGGTACCGTCTTATAGGAATGTTGCGCCTCTTGAATTAAATATTTCGTTGTTGAAAGCAGAGCAATTATTCATGTTTAAGTTCACCAATTATTACCAATAATTTTTTTGGTAATTTTCAACTGACGATTTTGTTGGCCCGAACAAGACTTGTTTGAGAACGTGTTCGTTTTTCTCTCAGTTTAATAGTTTTATCAAAGAATATCGAAAAGCCGTGGTTGTAGATCTGAAAAATTAGAAGAAAAAAAAATTGTCAGTTCTGTTCTGGAAGCAATATTCCCCCAGATAATTCGCTCAATAGGGGTTGTTCAACTGTTACGTAAGCAAATTTTTAGGCTATTTTGACCCCCTCCCCTTCCTATGTCAGCATATTCCCTATATGGATAACACGTGCTGTCAGAAATCCTGGACCCCCCCCCCTCTACTATGCTTACGTAATACTTGAATACCCCCACACATCAACATGTAACAAATCGAATTAGTTATCGTTTGATTAACTTTTTTTTCTTTTTTTTTCTTTTCAATGCCACCGAAAATTTCCATGTTTTTTTCGTTTTCACATTTTTATCACGTCCATCTTCTCTATTTAATATTCTCTATTGTTTTTTTTTTTCATTTCAATGCCACCAAAAATTTCCATATTTTTTTCATTTTTATATTTTTATTGCGTCCAACTTTTCTGTTTACTTTATCCCCTTCCATCCTGCGGTTTAATGTCGTCAGATAGGAATTATAATTCTTGCAACGTGTTCCGAAATTATATATAATAATTCACTTCTTTATTCTCAATTTTCATTCATGAACATTAAACATAAAATAAAATGCAAAAACTTGTTTCTTCGTTTCTTTGTTTCTTTGTTGTTGTTGGCTTTCGCAAGATGAGGGATGAAGTGAAAAATGTGGAAACTGCACCTATTTTTCCAAGATGAATTGTTCGCGATGGTATGCAACGATGTGTCTAATTGATATCTTTTTATTTACATTTTTTTTATTGTTTACCACTCGAATGATGTTGGCAGGTTGAGTTCCATGCATAGAGACAGTATTTATATAATCACAGTACATCAGAGAGGGAGATGTGATGTATTGGAAACGAGTGGATGCCCTTGGACATCCTGGGATGTTGAAACGAGTTTCTTTTGTGGTGTTACATATCTATTAGGGATCAAAGTCACCTGTCGTTGGATTTTCCTTCGCATTTATGAGGATTTTTTTTTCCATTTGTTCACAATTTCTCGTAGGTGATCCTTGATACAGATCGAGGAATCAATTACATTCATTGATTAGTGAATAAGGACAATGTCGTATAATTATTTTGATATGGTATTACGTTCACCTAGCATCACATTCGTACCCCACGCACTGAATGCTATCGACCTATTGGTCAATGATACGGATTTCTTTAATTTATTCGGAATTGGTTATTAAGAGGCAAATGTGAGTCATTTCATTATAACGCAAATTATTCGGCTCTTGTTGTTATAAACTCTAAAATTTTAGTTTTTATCACTTAGTTTATGTATGTATTGTCAAAAATATAGTGCGCCAATTTCCGGGACATTTTTTGGAAATTCTTATCAAGTTCCACTAAAATTTCTTGCAACTTAGTGATTGAAAATTCATAATTGAGGAAATCAATGGAAACTGTAAATTTTAGTTCAATTATTCCATAGAAAATTGATGGAAATCAGAAAAATGCAGGCGAACATATTCCTAAATTATCAATTAATTGAGAATTCAACGTTATTTAATCCTAAATATTCGTGTTCTAATGAAAAATGTCACTGCTCAAAAATGTAAAATTTGACTAAATTTTCAGTGAAGCTCCAAATAAAATTTATGAATTATGGAGAAAAAATTATTTGGAGTGGAAATAATTGAACGAAGAATAAAATGATGAATGATAAAATTCCGATAAAAGAAGGATACAGCCCAAACATCTCATAAATAAACATTCAAATTTTTTATCAATAAAAGAAAGTTCATAACATATTGATACATTAGTGCTATTATTAAAAGTCGAAATAAGCAGTACAAATCCTATTATATTATTTATAAAATACTCAAAAAAATTTAGAACTGTCTACGGTTTCGTCGGTGCCCATCTATTGTCTGCTTATCTCCACTAAACTGTTCATTAAATTTTAGTTCAGTCTAACAGCGTCAATATTTTTGGCTAAAAGTGAGATAGACGAATTTTTATGAGGACCTATCAGCAACTCTCAATATTTCTCTATGAAAAAAAAGTCATTATGAGTATTTATAGACCTCTCGTAGTTTCAGAAATCTTCAACGAAAACTAGGGTCTGAGCCGGAGCAAAATACGCTATTTCGGTATTTTACTACGGAATCAATTTCTCAGTTTAATTGCAATAAGCTGGAGGCTGCATTTTTCAACGATCTAAAAATCCTCAGGACTTTTCAGATAATTTTCAAATGTGAATCTGATTATGTAAATCGCAGCAGCTATTTTTATTTGAATAAAATTGAGAGGCAACATGATGAAATGAGATGAGTCAATTTTATTTCAAGATCAATCTCATGAATAACTCAGAATATAAGAAGAATGTTAATTTTCTGTTCAAAAAATATTCCTATGCTTCTTACAGGTTTTTGGGCTGAAGGAACTGAATTTGCCACTATTTTCCATCTAAGACCGTGCAATTCAAAAGATTTTTCCAATTCAATCGTTTAACCCGAGTTAAACGATTGAATTCAAAAGTTTCGTTTAGATAATTTTCTTGTAACTCTCGTGGATTGTGCTTGAGAACGATTCGAACACTTCAGTTGTTGATGACGGAAAAATAAACAAGATATTCGTGTTCTACGCCCTCAAATTAGTCTAAATCCACATAGTTTTTCCATCGACCTCATACTCGAGATAAAACCGTATCTGGTACATGGACAAACAGTGAATAATTAAGGATTATGAACATCGGTTTTGTGTAATCAAAACTAGCCTCCCCGAACAAAGTCAGTTTCTTCGAAATATCTCGCAGTTCATGGTAGATAAAATTTTCGCTACAACTGTTTTTTAGCGAAAAATCGAGAGTTGCAAACGAGGTACTTAACTTTTCTATTGCATTAATGTTTCGTTTCGACTAGTTATGTGAAGTGAAAGGAAAATTGTTTAGACATTTTTTGAATTCATTATTTCGAAATTCAGAAAAATCAATCGAGTTTTTAACATTCGAGGTAGGTTGCGAGTTTATCGACAGAATAAACACTCGGACCGGCTGGTGCTGACATCTGCGTCAGTGACCACAGCCTGTCTTAACCTCTGTTTATGTGCTCCTGTCAGTTACTCAATCAGCTGATTCCGCTTCGCGCTTCCGATCAGCTGATCAATCATCATGGAAACGTTAACGGACGAGGACTATGTTCCGGCGCCAATTAAATACGAATGTAAGTGAAATCCACGAATTCATGATTCATTATTTACTTATTTATTCACTTCAAGAGAAATTAAGTCCTAATGGGGGAGGGGGGTTCGGGGTCGTCATTGTTGCCTATTTTTAATTATTAGCCGGAAGCGGGAATTTCATCACTTGAAATAATCAAACATTTTTTCAATAATTGAACAATTGAATTGTTGTTTTTGTTGTGTTCCAGATCTGGATCATACAGCAGATGTTCAGTGAGTGCATACTATCATTAAGGAAATGAATAATTGATAAGGAAAAAAATTAGAGAATGTTAAGCTTTAAGGTTAACTCAATACATAACCTTCATGCCATGTGGTAAAATGGAAAAATACGCATTTTAGAACTCGAATGAAGTTTTTTTTTATTCAAGTGTTTCTGAACAATTCAGTAGCAAAGTGGTATAGTACATTTCCATACTAGGGCGCATGAAAAATTTTATGAAACTCATATTCGCCAGAAAATTTTTCTGCGCCCGTGTATCGAACAATATTTTTTGTCACGAGAGTCATAGGCAATGTTTTAGGCAGGTGTGCATGCCGCGTGCCGCAGGCACACGCGCCTAAAACGCTGCCTTACGACCAGAGTGACAAAAAAACAGTTTAAGTCGACTTATCTCCCAGTTGAGTTTTTGGGGAATATTTCCGAATCTAAGGGAGATAGCGAAATTTTTGTAATTACATTTGTTGTAGCTCTCAATCGGCTCTATAAAAAAGGTTATAACAAAAATTTTGCTATCTCCCTTAGATTCTGAGATATTCGTTGAAAACTGGCCAATGGTAAAAAATAACGTGTACCATTTAACCACTTCGCTACTGAATTACAGTTCAATGTGCATACATACTTCTCGTTATAAACATGAGACCATGTGAATTATTTACGGATGTTGTGGTAGCTTAGGACTATTAACAATACACTTCAAATTTCTATGGAACGTTTGAGAAGAAGCTCGTTAATTATAACAAGAGAGTTTTCATCTAGTCTAATTAGGAATTCTCGTGTATGATATAGTGGAAAAAAATTTTGGTTCATAAGTTTTTGAAACTTGAAAGAAGTTTTAAGATTATAGTTTTTGTTGATGTTCAAAAAAACTGTCGATGTTCTTTCAACTGACAAAATTGTTTCTTTCATATTGATAAAAATGAAAATCCACTAACCCGAGTTGATTATTCACTTATAATACCACGAGATCTGTAAATCTATTGGGTATTCCCGATGGATTCACTCCAAACAAACGTTCTTCGTCAAGTTTGTCAGATTCAAAAATCGCGAGTGTGAAGCGCGTGATTTCTTCTGAAAAGCTTGACAACTTCGTTTATGTGTACCAAAGCTTGAGAGGAATATGGGAATAATTTTGAGGCTCGAAAGGTATTTGGATGACTATTTTTTCTCTCAGAATTTCGGCCAAAAGCATCCTTTGCAGAAAATTATTAGTTGCTATAGACGACAGAGCACAATTAAAGTTATTAAAAATAATGGAGGCACCGAATGTAGGCGTTAGCATGAGGTTATATAAGGCTTAAACTTTTCAATATCTGCATTATTTGCGTGGTTACTCCAGATTTTCCCTACACTGCCTCTAATTCTTATCGTTGTTTTTTGCGTCTTCCAACAGTTGAATTATCAATTTGAAAAAAAAACAAGAAACCCTCCATGAGAAAAAATTTATTAATTTGATTTCGTCAAAGCTGCTCCAATTAATTTTTGTTGATTATTAGAAGTGTTAGTTTCATAATGTTTCCCCATCAGTTTAAAATTTATATACGTTCACGAATTACTCGTCATCGAGATTAATTGATGTTTGAAAAGAGGAAATCTACTAGTTCTATTTTGTTCTTTTCTGATGGGATTAACCACTTACATTCAGAATTGACCCTCTGATTTGATAATTAAAAAGGATCCACGCATGGGGAGAAACAATGCAAGAAGCCTTCGAGCAGTGTGGAGTAGCAATGTTCGGTTACATGACCGAACTGGACTCAGTCGAAATCTTCATGACACATAACATCGAAGCAGAAGGTGATGACATCCAAGCACTCCTCTACCATTTCCTCGATGAATTACTCTTCATGTTCTGTGCAGAGCCTTTCCTAGTCGCTAAGGTACTACCCCTACCCCCCATTGTCACGTTCTCCTCGCGTAGTAAGATATTCAACAGTAAAATATATAGAGCTGTGGGACTCCCCCAAAAAAGCCCTTCTAAATTGACCGACCGACCACTCGCGTTCTGGTACGTAATGCTTTTTTTAAACAATGAAATATGATCAGGGAACGCCAAGTAAACAATTCCCAATCAATTTTAGGCATTGCAACTATTTATTATCAACAATTTAATTGTTCAAATCGCCCAAGCGCCCAAACTATGAAAGATATGCGAAAATTTTCGGATCGAAAATCATTTAGAATTTAATAAGGAATTATTTTTGTCTTTTGTCAAATTCATGTATCTCTTTTAGATTTCGAGATATGAGCAAGGAAAGAGTTGGGTGGCCAACACAGCGCTCTCAAGCCCACTGCACACCGCATGCACAGAGCGCTATGTCGGGTCGCGTAACTAGTTTATTGTTCATATCTCGAAATCTACGAGAGATATGTAAAATTGATAATAGACAAAAATTATTCCTTATTGAATTTTAGATGATTCATGATTTAAAAATTTTCACCTATTCTTCATAGTTTGGGTGCTAGGGCGATTTAAACAATTTAATTGTTGATAATAAATAATTCCAATGCCTAAAATTAATTGAAGATTGTTTAGTTGACGTTTAGTGATCATATTTTATTGTTTAAAACAATAATTACGTCGGAAATTAATTTCATCGGAAAATCGAGGGTGTCCCGCAGCTCTAACATGGAATCAGGCGCAGAGCCTGTCACGTATGAAAAAATCGTATAGGAACTTTCTATACGGATTGTGTATAAGAATTCTATAGGATTACCGTATATGATATTCGGATATTTCTATACGAATATTTTCTAGACGAATTATTTCTATACATAAATATTTACATAAACTTTTGTTTTTATACAAAAGATGTCTAAACGCTCCAGAGAAAAACGTAGAGAAATGTCGCAACTCCTAACGAAATGTTTCTATACATGAAGAAGTGGGTCGTATAGGATCAAACCTATAGAAATCGTATAGAAATTGTATAAAAAATATCCGTATAGAAATATCCGAATATCATATACGAAAATCCTATAGAAATTCTATACGCAATCCGTATAGAAAATTTCTATACGATTTTTTCATACGTGTGAAAGCGCAACAAAACGAGTTGATTTTCCGAATCTGAATATGGAATCATCTCGGTAATCATCAATTTCAGACGAAGCTCTCAATTAATTTTCTGTCAGAGATTTGAACCAACTAATTATCGAGATTGTCAACAAAAATAGCATGCCTATTAGGGATACGAAATTACGTCACGTTTTTAAATGCGTCAGGTCAGAAAAAAATAAACATCATATGAAGTCAATGTTTCTCATGTCATAATTCCGGTCATACTCTTCCCTGATTTTAAAACCACCGAGCTAGATGTCAATTGACAGTCATGAATTTTTCGATCATACAATTTTGTCACATTTGGTAATGATTCGTATTTTCCATTCATTTCGATTTGAAGACACTGATTCTATGTGTTCAACGGTTAAACTTTAACCATCTACTCAACGCCTTATTATCATGGGGCTATCTCCGAATACCAAACTGTATTATCAGTAGTTAGACGTAATGTGACGGTCAGATAGTAAATTGGTCATAATTTTGTCATATGACAACAATTTTTCATATTCCATCCGTCTCGGACGTCATATCGTGTAATTTTTTCGCATCTCTGAACTTTTCATCGAAAATTTATCAGTCTATGGGAGCATCCAACAATTACGTCACGCTTGTTTTACACTAGAACAGGACGCGCGCTTTGCGCGCGTATTATTTTCCATGGGTGCCAGAATATCAAAACCCTACTGTTTCTCACTTCCATTAATTTTTATCTCAATAATAATGCAGGAAAAATGAATGGTTTCAACAAAGTTTTTCACAATGAAAATTTAATTGTTTAATAATTTATTCGGAATCGTCATAATCCTCTTCATCTTCTTCTTCGTTTCTCTTTTGCTTTTTTGCGTTCTTTTTTATTTTTAGGGATGTATTATGTACTATATACATCTATATTATCCTATATATATTTTTCGTACAAAAATATATTGTTTTACAGTTAAAAAAAATTAAAGTATAAAAAAATATATATGCATATAGTATATAGAGCATGTGTTATATACTATTGTATATATATATTTTTTTATTATACTAAGGAATGAATTTCTCTTTATTTACAATTACTGTAAACAAAAGATTACAGTACATAAATAGTATATTTCAGTACATGTGGGGCAATATCGTCTTTAACGTGTGTGGGGTTTACAGTATGAGCCGAAGGCGAGTGATGTAACCACACACGTTAAGGACGAAATTTCCCAACCAGTACTGAACAATAGTATATTTCGTCATTAGGCCGAAAGAAACTTTTCTGGCGAATATGAGTTTGCAGCCCGAGCCGAAGGCGAGGGCTGCAATCATATGAGCTAGAAAAGTTTTTTTTGGCCATATGACGAACAGTATTTTTTGTTATGACGGCCATAGGCAGAGATTCACGGACGCGGAGCGGAGCGCCTTCGGCTCGGGCTGCAAACTCATATTCGCCAGAAAAGTTTCTTTCGGCCTAGTGACGAAATATACTATTATGTCACGAAGCCTGAAACCGGCTGAATTAGACACGAGACGCGAAGCGTCGAGTGTGTAATCCAGCCGGTTTCAGGCATGAGTGGCATAAAAAATATACACACATTACATTATTTGATAGGAGGAATAGAAGCTTCAAACATCGTTACACTGAATTTTGTAAAAGTGGATTTTAGATCTCCCCCCTCTGGATTAATGGGAAAAGAAAAGTATTTTTGATTTTTTTCTTTTTTTCTTTAATCTAATGAGAAAATAGAAATACGAACGTGACGTCACAAGCTGTGCGACCCCCCCCCCCCCCCGCCACCGTCGCACATCGTTACAACATTCAAGATCCCTTCCCCTTAATCGCGTGACGTAATTGTTGAATGCTCCCTATGAAAAAAATTATCAATATCTCTTCCGAAGCTACTGACTACTGAGTTGGATTCCCTATTACCTAGAACATTTTATCATATACAATTCCAAATTTTTTTGTTTATGAATGCATCATATACAATTCCTTCCGTCTTCTTTTTTACAGAAAATAAAAATAACCGAATTCGACCTACAGAATTTCAAACTCAAAGCAACAGCATATGGAGAAGAATTTATGCTTGGTAAACACCCCCAAGGGGCGGAAATAAAGGCGATAACGTATTCAGCAATGCAAGTTTTAGATCGACCAGAAGTCCCTCGTCCTGAAATATTTGTCATCGTCGATATTTGATTGATAATTCCTACTAGATTGATGTTCTTGTCCCCAGTATACATCTCTAACATCTGCACCTTCAACTGCTTCAACAAAATTCTTTACAATCTCACCCTCTCCTCCCTCTCCCCTCATCACTCGTTTCCCAAGATTTTTGGAAGGAAAGAGACAGTTAAAACAACAGTCGGAGGGGTGGAAGCCTCGGGAATTTGTCGTTTATACGCCTGGAGTTTCTTTTCAAATAAATACGTTACGACTTTAACTAAACACCGGGCCCAACCTCTCCCCCTCCAGCCTGTTATACATTTATCCCCTCTGTAATTTCTCGATAATCCGGCCTACTAACTCCTCAGGGATGTGACGACTTATGACGTCACCCAAAATGAAAAAAAAAAAACTAGGGGAGATTGGGGCAGAACGAGATGTATTTAATTTCAATTCGCGATGGGTAGAGTGAAATTTTGCCGATCCTCGACCATTTTCAAATTTTTTTTTTCAGTTTCAAGATGAGACCAGATTCATTCTAGTCGTATCACTCAATGAGCTGATATTAGGAATAAAAAAAGGCCCATCTGCCTCATTCTCTCCTGATGCGTAACCAAATTTTCTATTATTCGTTGAATTTTTTTAATCAACTTTTCATTTAAACAGGACAATTTTTGGCATTTGTTGTTCATTCCGCCGTTATTATCATTTAAAAATAATATGAATAATATAAATAATTATGAATTATTTGAGACTAATTGTCGCGAATAATAACCACCACGGATGAAAAAAATTAATAAAAAACCTAGCGAATTCGTTAGAAAATTCTATTGGGTTTCTGTTCAACTTTCTATTAGTTTTTGGCCGATTCTATTTAAATTTTCAATAGAGAAAGGCAGTGGAATTTGATTTTTGTATATAACTTATCCTATCGAGATATTTTCTACAGAATTTCTTCGGCTCAAATTTTCTATTTTTTTTGTTTGATTTCCTTAATGAGAAGAAAAGAAAAATAGAATGAAAAAAACTTGGAAAATTTGAGCCGAGGAAATTCTATAGAAAATATGTGAAGAGAATAAGTTATATAGAAAAATCGAATTCTATTGACTTCATCTATTGAATATTTTCTATTGAACATGTCAATAGAATCGGCCAAAAACTAATAAAAGGTTCAATAAAAATTCAATAGAATTTTCCAACGAATTCGCGAGGGTTTCTATTAAATTTTTTCGTGCATGACGGTATTACTGGCACATAGCGAAATAAAATAAGTGACGAGGGGAGGAAATTCACAATCAATTGTCTAATTGGAGGTGAAATTGTTAATTCAATTTTTCTACTCTATCAATGGCTTCAATTGAATCCATCACAGTTGTGAATATTCCTCACGATACATTTGTTAATGAAAATAAATACAATGAAATAAAGTGATTGATGATGGAGAGAATTAAAAAATTAATTTTCCAAATGTTGAAATAAACTAAAAAAAATGGTTGATTCAATTATTTCATATCCAATCTGAGCCCATTATAATTGTATGCTTGTGAACTTTGGGTCGTCGAGATATTATTTAAGTGCAGTAAATTCAGAAATGATAAAGATAAAACCCATGGGGTCTAATGATACGTCCCTGTCTCCCAACTGTTCTTCCACTCCCTCTCTCCTCTCATCGTCATTCCACCGTTGTGATGCCACCGTTGTATAGCCATACCCATAGCGTATGGTCCCATTGCAAGTGAGACGACCAGTCGAGGGCCGGGAGAGGGGGGATTTTCAGTATTTCTGTTCTGTTGTACTGTACACTGTTGTAGAATGGAGTGTGTGAACGAAGCAGGGGGCGAGCAAGAAAATTAAAGGAAAAAAGGAGGAGGGACGCTTGCGCACACACTCCCGACGTTTTCTCAACCGTTTCACGAGTTACATTTCGTCATCACCTATCGAGTCAACATTTTTTTTTTTCATTTCATTGGTCAAATACTCTTGGCTCTTTACACAGTAGATTCGTCGGAGTAATAACAGTGTTGCAAAGTGTTCAAGTTATTTTCCCTCAAAACCCTCGTCAAAAAAAAAGTTTCATTCATCGAAAAAATCCGAACTTTCAACGAACAAAATGGAAAATGACATTTCTGCAATCAGTGAACACCGAAAAATGTGAGGACATCATCGAGAAAACAACAAGGAATTACTCGTCAACATTGGCCAAAGGGGGTGTGTATTAAAATAATTTAGTAACTTTCTAGTGACTTTTCCCATTTCTGTAGTGCCATTGCCTAGTATTATTGCGGGAAAATAAGGTTTTCAGCCTTTTGGCGCGCTTTTTGAGGGTTCTGTGTGGCCACCGACAGATGGCCAGTGAGGTGCCGGGGTATATCTCGTATGTACAACTGCAGTTCGACCCCACTGCAACTCGTTTCCAATGAATATTATGTCAAAAATCGCTAATACATTTGAATTTTTTATTGAATTATTAGATCTTCATAGTTAAAACGAGTGTGTGGTGGCTGTTGGGGGGGGTTGGGGGGGACGGGTTGAGGGAGTGAGTGGGGGCATCGAATCGGTAAAGTGCCAGCACGCCGGGCCTCGTGTGCACTTGATCACCAGTGAGACAGTTGCATTCTCAATTCGATAATTTTTATTTATTCATCAAAACGGTTCATTAGTTCTTGTTAATTCCGGGTCAATTGGAGATGTAATGAACGATTGTGATTATAATTAGAGAATTGTGAAAGGGTGGGGGGAGGAGAGTTGAGGGGAGTTACGACGTAGGAATTTATCTAGCTGAGTTGCATATGAGAATGAGATTTGTGGATTGAGTGGCACAAAATGGACGAAAATTAGTGGGTTGATGGGATTTTTCAAGTGGATTTAGTTGGTCTGGGGCTGCCAGGGGTTTTTGGGGCCGTTTTAGGGCTCGGGGTTTTCGTTGCTCCCTCATTTCTCTCTCTCTCCTCTCTCTTTTCCACTGGATATTGGAGGCAGGACGTGACGCTGGGCGGTGAGAGACGTTGAAAATGGCTCGTGTTACGTGTCTGCTATAAACACACGCGGGTTTACATGGTTTTTGAGGGGTTGGAGGGATTTTCTTGCGGTAATTGACGAGGTTTGACGGGTGAAGGGAGAGGAATTTTCAGGATTGAGGTGGACAGGTGAGTGATGATTTTAGCATTTCTTTTTTGGGTTTGGAAGTGTTGTTTTGGATATTGAGAGATTCTCGGATTTTTCGATGATCGGGGGAGGCTTTTTGAGAGGTGGCTTTTCAGAAGATGTTTTTTTTGGGGGGGGTTTTATTTTTTGAACGGGGAAATTCCAACGCCAAAGGCGCTCCGGTTGGCTTGATAGCTGTGGCTAGTGCTCGAGGCACGATTTGTTGGCCCTCTTTTGCTTTTTAAACCGAACCAACGAGAATTTCTCGGGCTGACTCTGAGGTCTCTACGAGGCAAGTTGTAATCGTTAGGTAGTTTGGAGAATTCATCGTCTTCACGGGTAAGGGGAATCTCTTTGAGGACACTCACATTTCGGGGGATTTTTGATAAATATAGATTTTCGGTGTGAATTCGCAGGGTTTTGAGACACGTGTACCATGGTTTTTTGGCGAGACGATTTCCTTTTTTGGTGATATTTGTTTATTAATTTATTGTTTTATTGCTAATTTGTAGACATTGTAGAACAGAAGAGGTGTAGTGGGGCGAGGAGTGGTTTGAGGGGATTCAAGGACGAGAGTTTAGGGCTTGAGGGTTCTTTAAATTGTTAACAGCTGATCGTTAGAATTAAATTAGTTTTGGGGGAAATTGCAGTTTTTTGGAGGGATTTTCGACTTAGGGGATGCCGGAAGTTAGCGGAGAGTGGAACACATGGGGACGTAGATTTTTAGGAATTTTGGGAAAATTTTACATGCGGTCGGGAAATGGAGGTTACGAGGAGAACGCAGCATGGTAGCGTCCCGGCGTTCACATGCAAGGAGAATTTCTAAAAAAAAATTTTTAATAAACTTGCTCAGTCTATTTCGATTGTTCGTTTTTTTTTAGGAATTTCGAAGGTAATTTTCAAGTTTCGACGTTGAATTTACTATTTTATTCAATTCAGGTTAAAATCTGTAGGGATTATTCCGGAGAGTTGCTGACGAGTAATTTTTGTGGAAAGAATTGAGTTACACCAAATTTTTATTGAGAAATTTGAGAATTTTTAGGCTCTGTGAAAAATGACAAATGGTAGAATTGCTTGGTTTATGATTTTTTTTCACCATAAGAAATTACTTGAATGGAGTGGGGTTTCTGCGGTATGTAACTTGCTTTGTTGTCCCATCCATTTTTTTCACGTTGTAATTAATGAATTGTAACAAAAAAATTCATTTAGATTTCTGTTTTTTTAAGGAATTGGGAAATTAATTTTCAAGTTTTGACGTCGAATTTACTATTTTATTTAATTCAGGTTAAAATCTGTAGGAATTCAGTAGTGAAGTGGTAAACGGAGATAAATTGACTTATCTCCCAGTTGAGTTTTTGAGGAATCTTTCCAAATCTAAGGGAGATAGCAAAATTTTCGTAATTACATTTGTTGTAGGACTCAATCGGCTCCACAAAAAAGGTTATAACAAACATTTCGCTATCTCCCTTAGGTTGCGAGATAATGATTGAAAACTGGTCAGTAGTCAAAATTGACTTATCTCCTTTTACCATTTCGCTACTGAATTATTTCGGAGAGTTACTGATGAGTAATTTTTCTGGAAAGAATTGAGTTAGAGGAGGGTGGGGCAAAATGGCCACCAGATTTAAATAATGAGTGAAATTGGATCCAATCTACAGTTTCGACTTCATTGGAAGTTTATAAAAATGAACACATTGTCATAAGACTGCGTTGCAGGAGTTGCAAGGTAAAGCAAAAATGGGGTAAAAGGACACTTCAATTTCTTCCTCAATTTTTTATATTTGAACAATGTTATTCAATTTCTGAAACACTAGTCATGACTGCGATTTTCAAATTGAAAAAACAAACTAATTTTTTACTTTTGTCGTGGGGGGTGGTAAGCCAAATTTTTCTTTGCACATTCATCCTTCCCTCCTCCCATTGTTTTATAGTGATTTCCTTTGTAAGCAGGAAAGTAGCCATCTTGCAAATTTGGCAAATTTACAAAAGGTCAGTTGTGTAGGACGTGCATTGAAAAAAATTAATAATTTCAGAGCTAGTTCAATAGTAAAACAGGAAATCCGAAGCTAATCTATATTTCAAACTTCAATGGAAAATTTAATAGAGTTGTAGTTTATTTGTTAAAAAGATACCGACACGATTCTGTTGGGAAATGTTTGTTGAAATTTTTTTTGATTAAAAGTTGATTAGGACCAACTTGTTCGGGTGGCCATTTCATCCCACTCATTAATAATTTTTTGGTTGTGGACTTTGCCAAGGAGCAATTTTTGAAAATTCGATTATTGAAAATTTTTTGGGGATTCATTTTAGTTTGCCCTATACTGATTTATTAGGTGTTCATATTGCCCAATGAAACAATTTTCAAAAATTCGAATTTTGAAAAAAAAAAATTTCTTTTCGCAAATTTTTACCCCAGAGTGTCCATTTTACCCCAGATGTCCATATTGTCCCACCCTCCTCTACGCCAAATTTTTTATTGAGAAAGTTGAGAATTTTTGGGCGCAGTGAAAAATGACAAATTGTAGAATCACTTATTTTATGAATTTTTTTTCATCATAAGAAATGACTTGAGGAATGGAGTGGAGTTTCCGCGGCATATAACTTGCCTTGGTGTCCCATCCATTTTTTTCAAGCTGTAATTAATGAATTATAACAAAAAAATTTCATTTAGATTCCTGTCATTTTTCAACGCCAATATTTTATTTAGAATTCAAGGTCACAATTTTGGTGATTCTTTTTTTTTTTTTTAATTCCCACACCAATTTTTCCATTTTAAGACCTGATTTGACTACTGATACTAATTATTGTAGCAATTATATTTATTTCTTCAACAATTATTTTGGTTATTACTTGGATGGTAAAATATTTAAAAAGTTGAATTTATCCATAAAATGATGATACAAGGTGTTCATTCCTCCCCAATCAGGCGTATTTTTTCTAAACATAATATGAAATAGATGAGTTTAGAATATCATTATAAATCCATCCATTTGATTGATTTTCCATTATTCAATTCATATGCCTATTTCTCACACATTTCCTCATTATTTTCCATAGACAGGAAAAGGGTTGTTCAATAGTTCAATCAAAACTTCAATCATTTGCAGATTTAATTCAATTTAATTCACTACAGATGCTAAAAAAACAGTGCTATCATAGAAGTGATGTTCGTTTCCGGAAAAGATTGACGTTTTGACGTTCTAGTTATTTCTCCAACTCCCTTGACTTTCCACGATAACTGAATATTTGTTCAACTTGAGCATCTAAAAAAAGAGTCGAATGATCCAAGCTATCATTAAATTGTATCCCAATCCTTATCACATCGTCTCATTCAGTTTAGCCAGAAACAAAAATATAAATCCCCTCTTTAAATCACATCTTTAATAATTCTCTGTCAACTTTATATGATAATTCAAATTTCAACAATTCAGTATTTATCACAGATTTTTGGACTCTATAGCGAATCCAAAATTAATTATGACTTATGGGAATTGAAATATTCATGGAAAATATTCTGCCATGAAGCTAACAAGGTTTCTCCCCCGCTGGGAAGCCCATTTTCTCCACTCCATATATACTATAAATTTTCTTGAAATTCACACCTGTGTAGGTCGGCCAATCGTCTCCATATCGTCTCCCCTCTTCATATTCGATTGCACCCATTTTGCTTATGGAAGGAAGTGACGACTGTTCCATGTATCACTCCCTTTCAACAAAAGCTTTATTACTTGAAAATAGCAATCGGAATAAATGCATTAAATGACGTTGTGGAATTGCCAATGATTCATCCAACAATTTTAAGGTTAATTCTATACACAATTGTGACCTTGATGTAGAGTCTTGTTTGGAGGGTTAGAGATGTACTCATTTTAATTTCCCAACATCAGTCCACAACTTGAACATAAATCAACGAATTCTCAGAGAAATTTAATTGATCCATTCAATTTTTTAATCTTTGCAGACTCTCAAAGACGGTGAAATGCCGCGTGTGAGAAGCCGTCAAGTTGTCCTGGAGGACCCGTCCAGGCCAGTCACACCAGACATGGCACAAACTAAACTAAGTAATTACCAATGGATATAATATATCAATTAATTCAGTCGCAGTGGTAAAAGATAAGTCAAATTATGGAATTCAATTTTAACTTGAATTTTTGCTAAATATCCCGACATCGAAGGAGATGCAATCGTTTTTCAAGAATTTTTTCCGATATATTATCCAGAAACAATTTTCTAACATATTTTTTTTTATTGATTACGGTTTTAATGAATATTTTAGAATCTAGTGGGTTTTTACTCTCCACTGCAAAAGAGATCTGTGGAAATTTTGCATCGAAACGATTCCAATAAATTAAAGCATGAATAAAACTGTCTTTGTTAAAAATTCTTATACAAGGCCACAAGCACGAAACCATTTTGTGCTTCCTTTTCAACTGATAAAGTTATCTTTCTTTTAATGAAAATATCAGGCCACGAAGTCATGCTAATAATTCAGAAATAAAATAGGTAATATGAAATGAATCTAGGTACCATCATGGAATTACATGGGTTTAATGCTATGAATATCTCGTTCATTTGCGTAATTATTTCAGGTTTTTCTTTGGCCATTAGACTCTGTATATTTTCTTCCGTTTTCTTCTTTTAAATTTTTTTCTGCAGTCTTGTAGTAGGTGAATTATTGATTTCAAAATGAATCCTTAGGACCCTTGTGTCATGAAAAAATTGGCCATTTCATTTTGTCAAATCGATTACTATTATGTCCCTTCTTCTGCATTTTACTTATATTTTTGAAAATGATGATTTGTTAAGGGTTTCCTCAAATTTTCTGGCACAGTCCCGAATTCAATAAAATATTGGAGAAAACTTCGAAATGTTTCACATTTTTTTAAATGCAAAATATTCCAGAAATTTGGTAGAAACCCCGCGAATTTTCAAGAAAATTTAAGACTTCTATTAAATTCCCCCACTAATATGCAAAAACATAATTTTTTCTAAATTTTTCTACAAGACTCAGAAATTTCATCAATTTTTTCGGAATTTTATAGTGTCCTGGAAAATCTAAAAATTCCCTTGAATTTTTAAAAACCCCTGCGAATTTTCTCAAATTTTGTAGAATCGCGGAAAAATTTCTAGAATTTTCCAGAAAACTGATGAATATGCTCAGATTTTTCAGTAAAGATGAGGTTTCAGAAGATTTTGAAAATTAAATGGGAAATTTGGCATAATGAAAACAAAAAATTTTTCTCATGACTGTTTTAGTTTTTGCAATTTCCGAAATTCAATCATTAGGCAAATCAATTTTTTTCTCTGAAGAACATTCCATCATTTTCTAGAAAATTCTATAAATATCGAGAAAGTTTTGGAAATTTTTAGAACTTTTTTACTGTGCACTAAGGGGATGATTTAAAAAAAAACACGTTCATTTATGTCAAATGTACAGTCCACATACGAATTTTCACGCCTCTGACTTCAACGATTTCGGAATTCGTATAAAAAATGTGCACTCTTTTCCTTATGGGATCAGTTTTCAAAAATCACATACAAAATGTTTGCAGCTTCTGTATTTTGGGCTGTGCGTTGATAGGTCACTCCCCCTTCCTCCCCCCGCCACAATCAGGAAAATGTCTTCTTCCTTATGTATAAGATAAACGAGAGCTTTTAGCTGGAAATAGTAAACGACCTGTAGGGACATACTTTTATCGCGGACACAGCATTTCGTAACAAAATAAGCAGTTACACAAAATGGAGTCCCTTCAATTTTTGAAAAAAGTGGTGTTTTGCATTGAAACCTTGTTTACAGAAATTGTAATCCCCACATTGATTTTATTAAATTGTAATTTACCATCCCAATTACACATTGCCAAATGTGAATTTCGCCTTGTGAAATTCAAACTTGTAAATATGTAATCTGTTGTGCACAATTCGTCATGCATAATTCAAGTTTGTGCAATTCCCGAAAAATACAGAGCCCGGATGAGTGAATTTAGTTGTGTACTTGAATTCAAATGATGTTCGTCGAATTGCCTGCAACAAACTGAACATTCAGATTTGAATTAGACGATGTGGCATTCACATTGCACAAGGTGCAATTGGCTTGATACATTTGCATTTGTTAGAATTTAAGATATGGAATACGAGGATCATCATTTCTACTGACAAGTTTTCAATGGAAAACATCAAATGACTGTCATTCTATGTAAAGTATCCCTTATTGTTGTTCCCAAAATTGACTTATCTGGCCCACACCCTTGCAACCACTCAAACTAATCTCCCAATTTCCTGAATTTGTAAAGTAAAAACAGAATTCATCGGAGATGGATCCCTAGACGGACAAGTCCAAAAAGTCGCGGAGGAGACCCCAAGTCCCCACTTGCAGGACCACCAGTACGGCCAGACCCCGCATTACCAAGTGACAAGACGCCCACCACAGCCGATACCACGCCCAGAGCAAATCTCAGTTCAAGCTGTGAAACGACGTCTAAACCTCGAAGTGACCTCTTCAGCCCCAGCCCCATCGACCTTCAAAGCACCCAAAGGTAAACGTCGAAGATCAGGCTCAAACTCCTTCTCTCACACCCCAGCTAAAAGCAAAACTGTCGAGAGGACGCGGTACGACACGTCTTTGAGTCTCTTAACAAAAAAATTCATTAATCTCGTTGAAAGCAGTAGCGATGGTGTTGTTGATCTCAACGTGGCGTCTGAAAAATTGGAAGTACAAAAGCGAAGAATATACGATATTACGAATGTCTTAGAGGGCATTGGAATACTCGAGAAGAAGAGTAAAAATAATATACAGTGGAAGGGGGGACAGTTGCCTGGTGAACAAAATGACATACTAGAGTTAAGGAAGGAAATTAGTGATTTGGAGGCCAAGGAGAATACACTGGATAGATTGATCCATGGGGCTGAGGAGAGATTACGTGAATTGTGCGCTGATAGGCAATTTGCTTATGTCACTTATCACGATCTGAGATCTGTTCCTGCTTACAAGGATCAGGCGATAATGGCGGTTAAAGCACCTCCTGAAGCGACACTTCATGTACCACAACCGATCAATAATTTGGGACAACCTAAATTGCAAATCCATATGCGATCGTCCTTTGGGGAGATCGAGGTGTTCCTATGCCCTGATGATCCTACTGTTAAGGTCAATAGTCCTGGTTCGGGGGAGGGACAGAACGTTTTACCTAGAGAGTTCATTGTGGAGGATGAGAGCAAGAAAGAGGGGAAGGGAGAGTGGAAGAGGTATCGGGTGCCGAAGAGCGAACCTGTGGATGAGGTTGAGGGTGTTGTGGCATCAACTTCGTCCTCCGGTATGAGGGATGCGTTGTTGAGTGAAAGCGATGACTTTGGTCCTATGGGAGGGGGCAGGTTCCAACTACAGACTGAGGATCAAAATCCAACGACAGGTAATGTTTTTCTTCTTTTTCTTTTTCTTGCATTTGAGGGGCTAAGGTGGAAGAATGAAGAACACGAGGTGGAGTTTTCTTTTTTCGAACTGTTTTTTCATTAATTTAAGGATTTTACTTGTGCCCTAGGATATCAATAATTCTCTAAGGATAAGATATTATATATAGAAATGAACCCAAGGTTCAACAATAGTATAGTTGAAATTTGTTACAGTCGTTCGCTTCACTTTATTTACCATCATATAAACATGTTTATTCATCTCATAATCTGATTATTTACAACATCATTGATATGCCAACTATTCTCTACTTCTTTTTCATACATATGTACTTTAATATTTTTAATATTGGCTTCATCATTGGTCACTTCGCATTCATTGAAAAGAGCAGTCGGTTATTTTTACAGATGACGATATTCAATGGAGATGTTTGCAAAATAATCTGATGCCAAGCAGATTTGGTGATAAAATCAAGAAATTTTTTTGGTCGAAAATAACCATTTTTCGAAATCAATGCACAATTAACTGGAATATTTCTTTTCAACAAGAAGGATTATACAGACTATTTTGCAAATGTCTTGAGAACAAAATCAGTCGAAATAAAATATCTGCAATGATTTCAAAGATTTTTTTTTCTGAAGCAATCCATTCCGAAGATACTTGTAGAATAATGGGTAAATAGTTTCCGACTCGTCTTCTGTTCTTCACTCCTCAACTATTGAATTAACTGCATTCATTGATTTAAATAATTTCTCAATTGCTCCTCTGCATGTTTACACTTTTTTATCTGCAGGAAACCCACGGATTCATACAATGTTTAGACATGAGGGAAACAATGTCTTTGTTGTGGAAACTACACAATAATATTTTTTTTTCGTTCAAATGCTTTTCACGCACTCATTTCCATTTTTTTTCTTTCAAATTTTGTGATTTGTAATGCATTTTTAACGCTTATTTTTTTTTTACTTCGTTTTTTTTGCATAATAATAAAAATTGTTCATTTTCTTATTTTGCACATTTATTTCCTTACATTCCACCACAACTTGTATTTTTTTTTAATTGAAATGGATTGATTAATTCACACCACATTGAACAGTGGCTGTTCCCTATCGGAACTCTGACTGTGACCTGTGTAGTATCTTTAATATCACATCACAGGCAGAGTTCTAGTTAGGTGACGGTCCTCAACAACAATTTTAATTCATCAGTTATGTGATACTCGAATTTTGTGCAGTGAAGTGGTAAAACGTAATAGAACGAGGCGCTCTCTCACGTTTCGTTCAACATGAAATCATTTTTTCCCTTTGGCTTATCAGTTAATTAATAAAAATCTTCTGTTCATTTTCACCAAAACTTGAAAGAAAATTTTATGCTCTACGAGTTATTTTGAAGCTATCTATTCAAGAGGAAGATATTTCGATAATTCACAAAAATGGTCAGATTAAACTTCGTACGTTCTACAACTTCACAAGATAAATAAATAATAAAAAATCAATGATTCTCATGCGTTTTTTGATTTACCTGTTTCAGACGTTAATATATTGGACTTTAGTGAGTCCCTATTATCGCTGGAGCCACCATTATCTGAGAATGACTACTCGTTTTCACTCGCAACCGAAGAGGGCCTTTCAGATCTCTTCGATTTTCCATTTTAGGATTTTTTAAAATCACTTGCATTCATTAAAAGGATAGTAAATAAAACAAAATAACAATTGGAGAATAATGCAAAGTCGATGAAATCATGTGTCTTTTAACAATTAAAAAACATGGAAATTTACTCTGAGTTCGTCTTCCCAGCATGAAAAAATCAGTGGCTCAAGGACGAGTGGTTAGTAAAATTTGTAAAAAAAAAAACAAAAACATTTTTTGCTTATTACTTTCATGAGTAATATCATTCTTATTATTATTATTTTGTTATTTGTATGTAAAAACAAACATATCACGAAATAACGATTTTTCTCAGTTCATACAGATTTTCGTCGATTTGCTATAACAAATTAGAATGGAAACGAATGGCAATCGAGAGATTTGAAAAACGTTTTTTCAGTGCAATTACATAATTTATTAAATTAAGTTTATCGAATTGAATCATTTAAATTTAATCCCCATTATCGAACTACGTGAACGTGATTCGTCATTTTTATTATTCCTCAAAATTTTGTATAAAATCCATTTTTGAGGTTTCAATTATTTATAGACATTTTCGTTTTTTTATCCCGTACAAATAACATTGAGAATGCAAAAACTCTCCTAGAACTTGAAGAATTGTTCTAAAAACCAGTCTGATACCTGAATGATAATTAAATCTTAATTATTTGTAATAAAATCAATGATTAATTAATCTGAAGGAGACGAACTCAAATGTCGTACAAAAAATTAAACCCGAACATCAACAAAGAATACTAAAAATAACCGGAACGAGAGAAGTAGAAAACAGGAAAAATGGCGGCGAAATGAATTTTTTTTTCAACGATCGATATACCTGCGAAAAATAAACGGATTTCGACTTTTTTTTGTTTCTGAAGGGCGTGAAATACACGTCTTTGAGACGTTCAATCTTTTGAAAAATTCTACTGTGTCCGATGTTCTCCTAATTTATTTTAGTTGAAAAAAATTTCTTTACACTATCATCTGGCTTTGCCACATCGATAGTTAATCTCGGTTGTCTAAGATAATTGTATATTTAAGAGATTTTTAATAACAAAATGAAAAAAAAACCTAAATCAAATGGATTTTGTCATTAAAAATCTCTTAAAGGATGTACAAAGTCTGTTGTACGTCCGAAGCCATAGTGCCTACACCATTAAAAAAACGGATGAATAAATTGTCACGCACCTTTTACTGCACCTGTAAATAATTAACCATTCATACTTGTAATGCATTGATTATAAAAAAAATAAATAGTACTAGGTATTAAGAACTGAAATGAAAAGAAAAAAAAACATTTTTTTTATTGAACGAATGAGGTTTGATGGGAAAAATTGATACCTTGTATCATTAGTAAGATACACTCTATAAATTAGTTATTTTTAACTAAAAAGAAAATACAAATTATTTGATAAAGCAAATAATCGACGAAATGTTAGTTTATATAGTTATTATATAATATTATATAAATATTAATGTATATATGTCTGCACTTGTATAATCGAGGGATGCCCATTGCGTTGCTCTAAGTGTACAGGGACGACAAGACGAATTACAATATTTCGATGAGAAATTTTGTTGAGATAAATTTTCGATGATTTTTCAATGTCACTTATAATTAATTGTGCATCCCTTAATACTGCAATTTCTTTGTTGTTATATGAATATTGTTTTTTTTCTCGGCTATTTAGTTTGATTTTCTGAGTGTTGAGGTTGAGATGGTGGGAGTGATGGTGGGATAAGGAGATAAGTATCTTTATTATTGGTATTTTTTGATTATCTAATTAATGGTTTGATAGTGACGTGAGGAAGAATTGAGAGTGGATCTGGGGTTGATTTTTTGGAGATTTTTTGGAAGGGTTTCAGTGAAAGATGAAAGATCTTTCGACTTTTGATATTTTCCCTAATACCATTAGTCTTGGAGATATTTTCAAAATAATTGGGATCAAATGTTTTTGGATTTGAATCAACGAATTTTGACTTCACTGATTTTTACAGTGAGCAGTTAAGTGTATCTATTAATGTCAGAAGATATTTCTTGTGGAAAACTCAATTTCTTCTGAAAAAAGTCTTCTGACATATCCTCTGAATCCACTTCCAGAGATATCTTCAAAATAGGTTGTATCGAACCATTTCGCTTTTCTCCTTGAATTATTCAATGAGTCTAATTGAATGAATAATCCTGAAAATCAAATGATTAGTTACAGGGGTCTTTATAAGAGTTTATTGAACTTGCAAAGTGGTTTTGGAAATTGGATGCATCTCTTTATTCCACTCTACTGCAAAAAAATTATTGCAATCCCCTAGAAACATTGAAACATTGGTAGTAATAAATATTTTTTACTCAGGTATAGTGGGAGAGTAATTCAACCATAATTACCTGCCAGATGCAATTTTTTCAACTACGTGCGTATGGGTATGTGTAACGAGCTGTATGAAGTCACAATTTGTCATCTGTAAGAAATTAAACAAAAACAAATTTCAATTCTTTTTATTAATGATGACAAAGTGAAGTTTAATATCAGTCTGATGATTGTCGATGATCAAATTGCCGGATATGTCATGTGTATCGGCATATCAGCATGGATGGAGTGAAGAAAAATATAATCTTATGTAATTCAAATGAAAATTCATGAATATTTATTGAATCCGTCCCAGCAAAAATCAGGAATCATTTCAGCTGTTGAATGAACTTTGTTTTTGATAAATATCCTCGGATTTATGAGATACAAAAATTTTTGAATGAATCTTTTTTGCAGATCCTCGTTCATTCCATACGGTGAGGTACAATGAACGGAGATATGTTTTCAAACAAGTCTTGTGCGAACCAAAAAAATCAAAAGTGGATAATTTCTAAGATAAATATTTTTACCTATTTTTATTTTTTTGTTTGATTTCAACATACTAAAGTTTCAAACGTGAATAATCGTTTTCATTTCTACTGGAGATGTGGAATGACCGTCATTTTCCCTTCCAGTCACGTCAGGCGTGAATCACTCTTTTCTGAGCCTGACAGAATTTTCTATGCAAAATGACCATCACAGTTAAGCGGCGCCAGACTCGAGCCAAAATGACCAAATATCGTCATGTAGTTGTAAATCGACCGTCATTTTTATTTCGGTCATTTTTTAGGAGCTCAGTCGCAAAACTTTTTAATAGAATTGAATTATTATCATTGTTATTTTATTTATTAATTATTATCATTCATTATTTTATTTATTAATTCATATTAATGGCCCCATTGATACACTGTTAGAAAAAAAAATTAAAGTTCATGGACAGTTCAATAGTAATTCAGTGCAGGACAGTGCCGAACTGAATGCAATTTAAGCGGAAACAAATCATGAGATTTCTAATTTCACTGAAAATTCAATAAAATACTCAAATTTGAAGAAGCACGAAGACGAGAATCCTTCAATTTATTTGAATTTTCAATGAAAACAATTATTTAGTGTCAAATTACCCAGAATTTTCAAATAATTAAAAATTCAATAGTATGTTTATTGCAGTTTTTCGGTTTTCTGTTCATTTTCAGGGAGTAATTGAACTAAAATTTACCGTTCTTGTGGATCTTTCCCGAAATTCAGAATTTTCAGTGATAAAATTCGTTGAAATTTCAGTGAAACTTGAATATGATAAAAAATTTTGAAAAATGTACTGGAAATCTCAGCTAAAAATTTGTAACATTTTAAAAATCACTGGACTAGTATTTAAAAATTGAGGGTCCTCTATGTAGATGGAAATTGACGGTCAAAATTTATTCGGTCATGGCAAAATTTCCGGTCATGGCGGTGATTATTGACGGCTATTTTTGCTACTCGCATTTCTAATTTCAACAATTAAATATTGGACTCAAGAAGCGGATCAATCCCGCGAAATTGCGCATTTAGTTAAGAACTATTGTTTCCCAAATCACAGGTTACCTATCATATGATCATTATTCTGTGTAGGAATTTTCTCATCTTTCAGTATTGGATAGCCGAAATGAAGAACTAATCTCCCTTGTTTCGCATAGAATAACCGTTTTAGAGAGCAAATTACGTATGGAAGTATAGAATAATGAAAGGTTCTAAGATTTCTTGCTTGGATAAAATCTAATAATTTTTTAGAACAACTAAAATTTTGTGGTAAATTTTTTTCATCTCGGGGCATTCTTCATATGTTCAGTGCGATATTTTTCATTCTTGGTAATTTTCAACTTCCGACTTTCTTCGCTTCAAAGGGCTCTTAGGGGAGAGTGTTCCATTCTACTGAATGGAAAATTATTATTCTCATCAATACTCCCAAGAATAAAAAAAAGTTGACAAAGAAATTTAATAACAAAAATTTTTTTGCTTGAATTGCATCAAACAGTCGTTGTTTGACTGTTTCATTTCGCTCTGCTGTTTCATTTTACCCCACTCCCCCCCCCCTCACCCTATTCGAGAATGTCTTTTCTCTGTCTCGGTGCCCAAAAGAGGTATCCACGAAATTCCCTCATCTCACTTGAATTTCGAGATATTTCTCAAAGATTGATCTTCAAGTGAAATTGACTCATCCTTCAATTTTAATTGTTAATCACTTTCATAGATTTCGACTTTCATTGCCAACAATATTCCAGAACCGTCAAAAAATCAATAAATATCAATTCTTATCAATTCATTGATAAAAATCGAAGGAAAAAATGCCCATTCTGTTTTTGAATTCGCGATTTTGAATTTTTACCGCCACTGATGCAGCAATGGCGTCTGTCAATTACCACGATTACCACACAAACCTTCTCTATTCTCATTCGTCGTCAGTCCTCGTAACGCAAATGAAGTAAACGAGTGGAAACGAGGGAGAGGAAGAGAAGGATTGATGAAAAAATTGCTAGCAAGAGAAAGAAAGGTAAATAAAAATGGACAACATGTCGGCAGTTGGCATCTGTCGATAGAGTGGGCCTTGAGGCTGAACACAAGCGGTGAGGGTGAACAATTTCAGTGTGTAAAAAAGCACCGCTGGATTAATTTGTACAAAGAGGTAAATGATCTACCAGTGCGGGATTTTATCAATCAGATAACTCGTTAATAAATCATTAATCAATTGAATTGTAAAAACCATCCAAGTAGTCTGCTTTGCAAACCCCTAGCATCACAATTTGTACATAATATACCCCCAAATATTTCCTATTTCATTCCAAAATATTTTTAAACGCCCGAAAAAATAATAAAATTTCCCGAAAAATTCAGAACTTATCAGAAAAAAAAACAAGAAAAATGTAAAAAAAATCGTAAAAATTTCATCTCTCCAAACCGGTGAGTCAAGTGTTGTCAAAAAATAGCGGCGAGGCGGCACTGTATGTCATAATTGATTCAATTGTTAAATTTGTCTCGATTCCAACGGTTTCACCCAATAAAAATCCAAAAACAATTTTTTTTCACCTTAAAACCTTCAAAACCCTGAAAATTCATAAAATCCAATCGTAAAAATGGGCAATGCCGTGAGGAGCGACACTTCGTGAGACATTTTGTGAGAAAGAGAGAAAGAACGAGCAAAAAAAATAGTCGTGGGTTTTGTTAGTGCGACGCCGGTTGGAGTCGGGGGGATAACCTTCAAAATCGAAGCTTCCTTTCAAACCCTCGGGGACGAGCCTTCGATAGGTACGTGAATACAATTTTTTGAACCATTCCCATCCATCATTCATCAAATCAATTGGTGTTAGGGAGGTTCAAGGGTGTTCATTTTAGTGGAGAAATTCTGTTTTCGGTTTTAGGGATAATGAAGTGGCTCAGTACGAGCAACATCGGCGGTGAACCGGCACCACAAATGCAGCTACATCATCCATCCGCCAATGGCCACATACCCACTGCAAGTTTTTACACATTTATCATTTTATTTTCTAATTTTTTCTAATTTTTCTCATCATTTGGAGTCAAAACGTTTCGGTGGATTGAGGAATTAATTGATGACCATTAGTTTAGAGTTTTTTTTTTTAATTTCTGGAGGTAAAACATTGTTTGTAAAATTTGTCTCATTTTTTCAATGATTTACAAAATTTTTGATGAATTCATTACCAAAATTTTGGACAAATCCACGAGTTTTTGAGGGTTGAAGTTGATTCTTTCGTTTTTGTCGCTATTAGTGAGCGTTTGTCCGTAGTAAATGCGAAGTATTTTTTTTTTATTTGTTTGGAGTTGAGATGAGTCGATGATTGAGGTTAGGACAGACTCTCCAGTGAAATTTGATGCTAGATGCTGACAATTAAGTAGGGAATCAACGTTTATGAATTTTCCCTAAATTAATTTAATGTCAGTTTTGGAGGATTCTGAAAACGTTTTCATTTTCATTTTCGGAAGTTAAGATTGTTGAAGATCATTTAAAACTCTTTGTCGAAAATGCTGGGGATGTTAGAGGGGGGAATCGATGATTGTGATAGTTATCTGTCAATCTGTCAAAAAAAGGTCCATGGAGATCTTCTTCTCTTCATTTCCATTGCTACTAGGGGGTCATTAATCATTGCAGTTTTTAGTTTTATCGATAATTAGGATTATTGTTGTGAAATGTGTAACGGTGATGATGGTTGGCTGATAGCATGTTTGGAATCAATAATTGGGGTGTTGAGTCAATAATTAGCCAACTAATGCATTAATTAAACTTTTTTGCAATGCTGTATCTTATGTAAAATGATGAATGCATGATTAATCATAAATTATGAATGGATAAATAATGGAAATATGATAAATACTCTCAGGATTTTTTTAGGTTCATGGCAATAATTTTTTGCATTTGTTTTCACATTATTTCCAGTTATAATACGATTAAGGATATTTATTAAATATCATAAACACTTGGAAAAATTTTAATTTTTTTTTCGATTTATGGACAGGGTTGTTTCCTTCATGTTGCTAAAAATTTCAATTCACCAACCTGACGTTGATTATTCAGAAATAAAATAGACAATATGTACTGAATGTAAGCGATAAATCTTTGCATTATTTGCCTGGGCATACCAGATTTTTTCTTGGTCCTTGCATCCAGTGTATTTTTTACATTGTCGTCTTTTTGTATGTTTTATTCTTAGACTCTTCCAATAGGTGAATTATCAATTCAAAGATTAATCCTATGAGAACCTGTGTCTACAAAACTGGTTGAATGAGTTTCGTCAGGGCGACTACAACCAATTTTGGTTAAGGGGAGACTACTAGGGGAGGTTGGGGTAAAATGGACACTTGACTTTTTTTTAAATGTTAATGAGAGGCTGAAATGTTGATGAAATTCAATAATTTCCCTTTCAATACAAAGAACAATTCTTTCCCTTTGTGACGAGCCTAACCTGAACTCAATTGATAAATTTGTTTCTGAGTTATGAACAATTTAAAAAAAGTCTAAAGTGTCCATTTTACCCCACCCTCTCCTATGAGTTTTAAAAGTCGTGGGCTAGAATGAGATTTCTCACATTCTCAGATCGGTTATATGTCTGAAAATGAATAATTTGTGCAAAAAACTAATTGTTTATGATTCCTTTACCTCGTAAATGCTTAGAATGTTAAAAATAGTTCAGGGCCTCCAATTTTTGAGCTACAGAGATTTTTTTCCAAAATTTTTGGAAAAATATGTGCAATTATAATTACGAATTAGTTTTTTGAAATTCAACTCCTACACAGCTAATTTCGTTATTATTTTAATAAAAAAATTGTACCATTCATGTAAAATAGCCCGAAAAATGTTTCTGAAAGAATCAAGAATATATTTTTAATATTTTAAGGATAATTTTTCTGCTTATTTTACATGAATGGCGCAAATTTTTATGTTAAACAAAACGAAATTAGCTGTGTAGGAGTCGAAATTCAAAAAAACTAATTCGTCATTGTTATTGTACACATTTTTTCAAAAATTTTGAAAAAAAACTTCTGTAGCTCAAAAATTGGAGGCCCTGAACTATTTTTAAGATTTTAAGCATTTGCGGGGCAAACGAACAATAAACAATTAATTTTTTTGCCCCAATTATTCGTTTTTAGACATATAATCGATCTTGAATGCAAGAGGAATCTCACTCCAATAGCCTGTGACTATTAAAACTCATAGTAGTCTCCCCTTATGGATATCCAAGTACTCAGGCTATTTTTTCTCCAGTGAAATGCTTTTCTATTTTTTTAGTCGAACATCCGAGCCTTTATTTGAGCCCCATTTGACCCTAAGTTTCCGGACTTTTTACAATGATTTTATTATTTACATTTTGCAGTTCCGAATTTAGATCTCGATATTGAACCATTAGTAAACATTTTAAAAATCTGCAAAAAAATTGGAAAGTTTACTTTTTGGAGGATTATTGATGAAATAATTTGAAAATCGCAATTTTTTTAAAATTACGAGCATTTTTGATAAATGATTTATGAGCAATATATTTAAATTTTAATATATACAAATTTGTTCATCTTCAGAATTCTACCAGAAATCAATTTCATGCCTAGAAAAATAATGTTTCCGAAAGTTTCAACAATTTCAATTATTTATTCATAAACAACGAATGTTAAAAAAAATTAATAATTCCGTGCGAAATTTACTTTGAATGACGCGGAATATTCGTGATTTTTTTCAAATTTTTCTCATGCAATTTAATTGACCAATTTGATGGTTGAAATCGGTTGAATCTATAGTGTGGTTTGTACCAAACTATGAAAGATACTTAAGCTACTTAAGCTATATGTATATTAAGGATATCCTTAAGCAATAAGATTTATGGGACAATTAATTGATTTGATTTGTTCAAAGTTATTCGAATGATGCAATGTTTCGAAAATAATAATAAACATTAGTATAAGCTTGTACTTGAAACTGTACCATTAACCTTAAGCCAAGTTTTTTCTCACACACGGGCCCTTACAGGATTTATATTCAAATTGTTATTTACTTACTGGAAGATTCTAAAAATAAAAATAGAGGCAGTGTGAAAGAGTGTACTGAATCCAATAGCCATGGAAAAGTATTATTTACCCAGGCATTTAAAACTTTGAATCCTATATAACTTCATGCCAACACTTACATTCGTTGCATATTGTCTATTTAATTTCTGAATAATCAACTCAGGTTGACGGACTAAAAATTTTGTCAACACAAAAGACATAACTTGGTAAATCAGTCGAAAGAAAAAATTTTTTTTGAGTGTTTGAAGTTTTGAATAACCATCCTGGAATTAAAAATTATTCAAATAAAATTAAAAAATAATAATTTACAAAGTTCCAATCTTTGTTTTGTTTTTTTTTTGGGAAAAATCGCATTTTCCCGTAACAGTCCATGTCATATTTCAAAATTACTGTTGGATTATCACAACGGTCTTCATCCGCCATTTAAAATTGTGTACGTGAATTTAAGATGTAAAAACCTAAAGCGTGCATTTATTCGGAATTTTCTTCGTACTTTTGGGACCTTGCCATAATAACCTCAATATTCGGTTTCAGGATACCCAAGTGTCATTTACAGTTTGGTACAGAACACACTATAGATTCAAATAATTTCAATCTTCAAATTTGTCAATTGAATCAATCATCAATGATAAAAATTTGAAAAAAAATCATGAATCTTCAGCGTCATTCAACTTACATTTTGTACAGAATTATTTTTTTAAATACTCGTTGTTTATAAATAAATAATTGAAATAGTTAAAGCTTCCGGAATCCTTATTTTTTAGGTATGAAATTAATTTCTGGTAAAATTATGAATATGAATAAATTTGTTACAATTCCGAACAGATGATTTTTAAGGTAGAAAGTAGATTGTTTATAAATTATTTATAGAAAGTGCTCGTAATTTGAAAAAATTGCAATTTTTAAATTATTTGATCACTCTTCATCCAAAAGTAGCTACCTAATTGTTTTACAGATTTTTGAAATGTTTTCTAGCGGTTCAATATCGAGATTCAAATTCAGACCTTCAAAGTTTCAATAATACAATAATTGTAAAATATCCGTAAACTTGGGGTCAAATCGGGCTGACATGAAAGCTCTGATGTTCGACTACAAAAGTTGAAAAACATTAGAGTACTTGGATATCCTTAAATCGTATATATAATCGGATATGGTGTTGATTTTAATTATAATTGATGTTGTCTCCAGGACGTAGATCAGTGTGGACAGGTAATGGCAAGTGGTGATGCAGTGCGTCTTCAAGCTGGACAGACAAGTCAAATGGGCATAAATAGAGCCCAGGATGACGCTATGGTAGGTTATGGATTCCAGAGGCCAGCAGAGCCTGAATTCAATGCCCAGGCATCAACGTTTCAGACTAAACAGACACCACGTGCTTGGGCTCTGGCAGATGATCCCATCATCGACAACGTGAGTACTTCGTTCCATTCCAACTCCCATAAACCCGTCATTTCCAAATCCGAACATAATAATTTGGATTGATTTTCAGTTTTATCAATTAACGTTAAATTTTTTTGGATTTCAGAGCCACGAAAAATGGAAATATCCAATGACTAAACTCAGTGTACCACAACAGAGTCAACCACCCCAGTTTGGACTTCAGGCGATGAATAATGTACATACCGTACCTTATGAAATACATCCAATGCAACTCAAGGTAAATTCATAATTAAATTTCATTTTATTTTCATTCTCATTTCGATTTTATAAAAATTCAACGATACCAAGTGGATTAGAGACAGGGATAGTCATATTCATGAATCATAATTACCGGTAAATTTTGATGCCATCATTTATTTAATATTATTTTGAAAAATTTTAATTATTCAAGTAACTATCAATTCAAATATTTAAATTTTGAACTATTTTATTAATCAATAATTTAGGTAGGAAGATTGCCGATTATTCGGTTAATCGATAATCCCTTTTAAAAAATTGGAATTGTTTATTTAATGAAAAATTTACAGTTGCATATTATCAAATATTTAATTCATCATTAATCAGAAATTTAAATTATCAATATTATTATTATACTATTTTTAAATTTTGATTGAGTGTATTTAAACCTTCATTAATGTAAGTCACAAATCCTTTTAATATTGACGAAATTTTATATTAATGGCCATCTCTGATTAGATGACCAAATTCATGTTAATAAAATATTTGAGAATTAATTAGAATGTTATCATATAAGGCAAAACTCATGGCGGAAAGTACTTCTCATTTAACATTTTAATGGTTGAGCTATTTCGATAATTATGGATTCTATAAAAATCATTTGAAAAAACTAAATGATTGCGAAAAAGATTTCTTAACATTTCCCTCTGAGGCTTTTTATTTTTGTAATAATTCGCAGAGTGGAAAAGATGTTACATTTTCCTTGATTTTACTATAATGTTTGATCGGGGGATTATGCTGGCAATGAGTATTTATGAGAGAAAATATCAATATAGTGTTTTATAATGATTTGTCTCTCTAGAATGAAAGCTGATCCTCCCTCCCGGGGATAATCATCAGATTAACAGAAATGTGATATTGTCCTTTATTACATTACATTCTATGGAATCCCTTCACTTTTTTATACATGCGATGTGTTGCATTAAGACTTTGTCCACAGAAACTGTAATTCCATCTGAATTCGGCAAAATGGAAACTTGTAAATGTTTAATTTACTGTGCGCAATTTGACATAAAAATTAAGAATAATACAAAATCCTCGTGACTCGATTAGTGAATTCTATTTTTTGTTTTTAATTTGCCATACTCACATTATACGCATCGAATTTCACACAACGAACTGAATATTTACAAGTTTGAACTATACAATGTGGACTTCAGATGGCACAATGTGTAATTGCCTTGGCATATGTCAACTTAGTAGAATTAAAAATGTACATTGTGTAATTGGAGTGATCAGAATTAGTATTTCTGGAGACAAGGAAAATCAATGGAAAAAACATAAATTAAAAAAAGGCAAGAAAACTTGTAAAATCTATGAAAAAAAATTCAGTTATGATGCTTAGTGCAAAGCATCAAATGTGTCAAAAAATGAAGGAAGCTCATAGGTAATTTTTTTCAAGAAAATTTTGTATTGATATTGAAATATGGCATTTTGGTAGGCGTCATTTATTGAAATATAATCAAGGAACCTTTTTTGTAAAAAAGCATTTCAAAATTCTCCATTAAACCCTAATCCCCGAGACAGATCGACGATAAACAAACATTTTGTATTCAACTTCACTCATCCTTGACAATTTTCTTCATTTTCGCTCTCATAAAATCGGATGTCAATTAGTCATTGTTTTTGTTGCAGAGTGGAGGACCCGGTACCGAGCACCTCGTCTACCTGAACAATCAGATGACCTCCCAGCAACTCGCCCTCTTCCATCATCAGCATCAACAGCAGCAACAACAACAGCAACAACAGCAGCAACAACAGCAACAACAACAGCAACAGCAGTTCAGAAATGGACAGGTAAGATGTCTTATCTAACACACTTTATCCCTATCGCCATAAATATCTTCAACCACACTAAAATAGATCGATCTTTTACTTATCGATCAATGAATTATTGGACAATTTACTACGAAAACTTCGTGACTCTTACTCTCAAGTTCGTGACAATATTTACTCGCCCAGCAAATATCGTGTAGGCGGTTTCAATGGAGGGCCCACGCGTCTGAGTCAACCGATCATTTGATGAAAAAAACTTTTCGAGGCTTTTGGTTTATTCCAACGAAATTTATCATTTTGTTTTCCATTACAAAATAGAAAGTTTTTCGTTGCTCCTCCAAATTTAAAGACTCGACTCTGATTTTATCTTTTCTGTATCAGAGTCTTTTGGTGAGGATAATAGAGGGAGAGGGAGACAAGAGTTCCATACCTGTTGTGAGAGCGACGAAAGTCATGAAGAGTGAGAGAGGGAATAGGGGGCAGAATTAAAATTATGTCAGGGCCACCGTGCATTTTAAACTCATTTCTGAATATTTCAAATTCAATATATTAGATTTGGCATTGGCTAGAACAGAGAAATTTAATTATATGAACCATTTTTTGATATTACCATCTCATAAACAACTGGGAAATTTATCAACAAGTCATTGTTTGATTCAAACAGATGGAAATAAATGGATTTCCCTCGAGGAGTGGAATTATCACTTGAAACGTTAGCAAAGAAAAGTAAATATATGTGCACATCCGCATGAAAAGGGACCACTTTGTCGATTCTAGATTTCAAGATATTCACGTTTCGGTCTCAGCAACTCCCATTTACATCAACGTTGAATTATTTTTTTCATTTTCTCCGGCGACGTCATTTTTGACCCTATGAGGATCTTTTTGGGCTCAAAATGTGCGGAGTGTTATAAATATTATCAGAGTATACATAACTCCATATCGACAAAGTGGTTCCTTTTCATGCGGACGTCCGCATATTGCTTTTTCTTGAATTTTGAATTTAAAATTGCTGAACTCCATTTTTTTTATATTACTTGATTCAATTACGTGAAACTCACTTCAATCTCACTCAGTGGTTTGACAATATCTCGGAATCTTGAAGAGAATGCGAAATATCTATTAAGGACGGAATTTTCACTTCGCATTTGAACGTGAAACAATTATAGGAAATTCTAATTTTCGAGTTTTTCTTGAGAATAAGTGAAGTAGAGATGAAAGGTGAACGAAATTTTTCTTGAAATAATTGAGGGCACAGAAAAAAAAAGTTTCTAGTTTTGAGAGTTGAGTTGCTGATTTTAAGGAACTTATGGTTCTAGAAGATATTCCAACGAGACTAAAGAACTGGTTACTTAATTTCAGAAGAAAAAATGCTGAAATGCAGTAGCAAAAACGTTGGGTCCTTAAATTGAGAACTTTTGAGTTCTCAAGTTAAGAACATTTGAAAGAGATAAGGGTGAGTGGGGCAAAATGAAACAGTAAAAAAACTACTGTTTGACGCAATTCAAGCAGAAAAACAACTTTCTGTTAAATATTTGTCTTTATTAACTTTTTTTCATTCATGGGAGTACTGATGAGAATAATAATTTTCCTTTCAGTAAAATGGAAAATTATTGAGAAATTTTGACGGGTGATTTTGTCAATGGATCAATTGAGAAGAAAATGAAACAGCGGGGGAAAAAAGGAAAATATGATGCTGAATTTCAATCGAATAATCTATTGACAAAATCTTCGCCCATCACAACTTCTCAATAATTTTCCATTTTACTGAATGAAAAATTATTATTCTCATCAGTACTTCCAAGAATAAAAGAAAAGTTGACAAAAAAATTGACAACAAATTTTTTTTTTTACTTGAATTGCGTCAAACAGTTTTTTTTACTGTTTCATTTTGCCCCACTCTCTCCTAAAATTCGACAATAATTATATCATTAATTGAGTCAAGGTGTAACGTATGTACTTAGGAATAACAAAGACTTCATAAACATGAGTAGATGAATTTTAGAATTAGAAAAAAACATCAATGTAGGAATGCAAATATTTTTAATTTAAGAGTCGAAATGTTCTTAATTCAAAATCTTTATTGTGAGAACCCAAAAGTTCCGAATTACAGAACCAACTTTTCAATAAAGTAAAGATGTTATTAAAAAAATACCTGAGTTATTCTCCACACGCCCGTGCGAATTATAGGGTTAACGAAGATGTAATTTTCGACTCATTACGTTTTACCACTTAAAGACCATTCGAATGCATCCTTCCGCGACTTTTTTTACGCGTGTTACGCTCTCTGAATGCTTTACGAAATATTACAAACACCTTGTTCGAGAAGTTACTGACAAACGTTGTTTATTTTCCTCCAAATACCTTTCCATTTTCTCTTAGGGCTATTTAAACCCTCATAATCAGTCTTCAAGGCTAGTTTTTACTGAATTTCTCCCAGAGTAATAGGTATATTTTTCCGATGACTTTTTTGTATTCCTTATTTGTAAAATCATCGCCACACTTAAAAATTTTTGTCTGAAATTTCCGGTACACTTTTTGGAAATTTTCATCAAATTTAATTACCACTGAAATTTTAAGGAATTTCGTCATTGAAAATTCAAAATTCCGTGGAAAAATCAAAGAGAACTGTAAATTTCAGTTCCATTTTTCCCCGAAAATAAATAGGAAGCCAGAAAATTGCGGTAAATATATTCTGGAATTTTCTGGACAGTGACACTGAATGCGATTTTTAGAGGGAAAAAAATCATGAAATTCCAGATTTCACTAAAAATTCAATGTATGGCACTGAATATTCATATTAGATTGGAAGTTCAAATAAATTGAGGAATTCTCGTCTTTATGCTGCTTAAAATTCTGGAATTTCACGGGATTTTCAGTGAACCCTGAAATTTCAGGATTTTTTCCCCCTAAATCGCATTCAGCGTTACTATTCCGAAAATTAGTAATCAGCTGTCCATGAAATTTCATTTTTTTTCTAACAGTGCATCTCACTTCAATCCTAATATGTTTTTAAGCATTGACCTCTCATCGAAATCAAATTTTCTCATTCTACAAATTATTATTAGTTATTCAGACGATTATTCAATTAATTTTCAAATTCACTTCAAATGAAAAATAGAAATGACAATAGGAGGAAACAGGTGAATTGAAGAATTCCATTCGTATTTACTTGAATTAATAAACAAAAATTCTTCACTCAAACTCCACTCCCTTCGCAATCCCACGTATGCTTCCTACTTTACCCACAGTGTGTCGCTCCAGTCAAGGCGTCGTTCTTTGTTTCGCCCCGGAGTCAGTCTACCATCCACACGAAGCCCAGTGAGACCGGCTCATCACTGTTGTGTGCATCAAACCACAACTAAAACGAGCAAAAAGAAAGCAAAACTAAAAAAAAAAGACAATAAACCGCTGAAATAAAAACAAGCTCAATTCCCATGTTCATTCCGATCTCGTAGCAAGTGCATTAAACCTCTCGGGTCAGTGATAAATTCTAACATTGGCTGACATACACATCGGTAAATTCAATTTAATTCATTAATACGTGGGATAAAAAACGAGTCACTTTGGGGAACTACTCAAAATGAAAGTGTGAGACTGAAACTGTCCGTTTTATCAACTGTGCCAAAACGGACCGAGGATAGTAACGTAAACAGTGACTTGGCGTGAACAAAACGAACCAAAACAACACTTCCAAAACAACAATTGATTAATTATTCAACATTAAATAACCATTAAAAATTGATATTAAATTGAAAATAAATAACATCGAGCCTTCGGAATTGACGAAAATAAATCGACATAAAAAGTTGTGTGAGTTTGTTCTCCATCCACAGGATTGAACGAGTTTTTTTTATTTGTTTTGAAGAAGAATTCATTGGTGGTGGATTGTCGATAGTTCAGTGGATAATAATGATGGTTTTTCAATAATTAGAGGGAGGGGGATAAAACGTGCTGTCAAAAGTAATCCGGCAGTAGTGGGGTTGCCGAGGGAGAGAGAGGAGGCTGCGACTGCTCATAGCTCAGCTCAGTGATGGACGAATCGTGTTGTTGCCCCCCTTTTGCTGTAAATAAAAAGTGAATTTATGATTTTTTTCCTCATTGCAGAGAAATTTTTTTAAAAACTCCTATCAAATTTTACCTTTTGGTAACACATCAACTGATTGATCAATTGATCATTGTCGATTGATTGGAAGTGTGGGTTATTTATGAGAAAATTGATTCATTTATTCGTTAACGATAAATAAATGAGTTGTCGAGTGTTCTGCAAACTACACAGTGGCGAGATTGATTTTATCAATTTATTTGGAAGTGAATACAAACTTTAAGTGGGATTGAAATCTTTTGACATTCAGTTGTGACAAGTGGAGAGGAGAATACCTTCGGTTTCTCAGGATCTGTTGTGCTCTGTTTGAGTTTGTGTGTCCAAGTTTTTTACATCTGTTGTGTTTGGAAAAAAAGGGGAAGAGTGAAGTGGATAAATTTGATACGGTGGATAGTTACGGAGTTGGCTACGGTCAGGGAGCTAACACCGGCGACTGGATGAAACCGCCGGGGGATTTATTCCTTTACTGCGATATGAAAGACCTGGGTGCTGATATGGTACATATACATAACTTTTTTTGAAGAGTAACGATGATTCATCGATGGAGAGAAGAAATGAGATGCATTTCAATTGATTACATTTTTTTGCGTTTCAATACTGAGAAAAAATATATTTTTGCCAAATATCCATTTACTTGGGAAAACTATTCATTTTTTCAATATCGTATTTCTCCAGTTGAGTTATGCCCAGGCCATCCTCATTAGGTTTCAGTTATATCTATTATGTTGCTCTAAAAGATGATCATGTTAGTTATGACCTTAAGGGGAAACGGAACCCCTGCGTTTATATGAATCTTTAGAATTGTGTTTTCTCCTGCAATTATTATTTTTTATTCATTACACTACTTCATTGACTCAACAATGCGATAATCGAGTCGATAAAGTAATGTCATAGATAGAAATTAATAATTGTAGGA